CAAAAAGGGAGGATGAAAGGGCTGAGCAGTGGCTCCCTTGTGCTTGGTTTCTCTGGCATGGAGACTGAAATCCGTTTTAACAAGGGAAATGCTAAATGAGAGAGGCACCCAATCTAGAGAAAAGTTATTTTTCCCCTTTTTCTTCCAGACTAGGCCTATCCCATGGATTCCTTTCAGCAAAGGAGAACATAGATAAAGCTGGCAGACCTCTAGAGACCTGCTGCACCCAGCAAAGAGAGGAGGGAAGCACCTTCTGGAGGTGGCACCTCCTGATCCCCCACCCCACGTGGGGAATGCAGGATGGGCTCAGGGCAGCACCAGGAGGGATGGAAAAGGGAATTCACTCCTGCCAGAGCTGACTTCTGACCCTGGCTTTGAAGAGCAAATTTGGGAAGGCAGTAGGTGACAGCTTGCTCTGTTCCCCATCAGCAGGCACAGCTCAGGAGAGCTTTGTCCTGCTGCAAATTACTTGGGTGAAAGAAGATGGGAGTAGACAAGACCCTCCCTGTCCTTTGGAAAAGAGAGAGCTCAGCAGCTCACCAGTTTTCATCTTTCAAGAGGCTCTTCAAAGGTTTCTTCACAAAGAACCCAAACTTTTAGATCTCATTTGCTTCCCTGGCAGCCCTGTAATATGAAGGGTTGGCTAAACTGGCCCTGGATTAAAAGACTTTAAGGCAAGGAAATGCCACAGAAGCCACAGAAATCCTTGGAGCCCAAGGGATGCTCCAGGAACTTCGCTCCCAGGGTATGTTATGGAGGAGAAATAGGAGGCTGGAGCAGTGGAGGAAGACAGGGAAGCAGAAAAGAAGAGCTAGAGGGAGGGAAACACATGAGGGAATTCCCCAGCCCAGCTGACCACAACCAGCAAAACCTTGCTCCTCCATGCAGGGCACAGCAACATTCAGATGGGTGAACTGGCAGCTCACAGGAGGGGAAACTGAGGCACAAAGGAGCTCTGACATGTCACAGTAAGCAAAAAACAGGGGAGCCCATGCCAGGGTTACACTGCAATTAATGATGCTCCAGTTCTTGTGCTGGCAGTCCCCTGAACAACATCCATGGTCTCTGTCAATTAAACTAGATTATGGAATGATCCTTGCTAATTATATATTATTATCTAGCAAGCAGTTATCTTGCTATAAAGGGTGCTCCTTTAATGGACAAACACTGTTCCTCTAGCACAGCCAGCCCCAACGGCAAGAAAAATACAAAAGCCAAAATAATTTCTGCTGTGGCCAATATTTTGCCTGAGCTGGAATGTTCACATTGCAAACACTGCATCCTGTCCCAGAGAGAGGGAAGAGGAGGAGGAGAAGGAGGAGGGCTGCAACATGCAGAGCCAGCCAGAGGGAGAAGGCAGGATCCGATCTGTACCCCCAAAGCTGCCACAAAGGCATGACTGTAAGCTCAAAATCCAGCTGTGAGCTCTCCCACCCATCATGGAGCACTCAGCCTCCACACACCAAAATCCCACGAGCAGGGCCTTGCTGTCCCTGGGGCTGTGATGATCAGGAAACTGGGCTTAAAATAAGCTTGGAAACCAACTCCTGCTAAATGCCGTCATTGCATTTTTAATTGTCCATATGCTTGATCCATTATGTTTTCCCAGATGGCTGGGCTGCCTGACTACTGCCTCCTCATCTGTGCCACTATGGCCAGGCTCTCCAGCAGGTACCTGGGTCCCCAAGGCAGGGACACCCTCGTGGCAGGCTCTGTGTCACTGTGGCCAGGCTCTCCAGCAGGTACCTGTGAGCTCCATCCTTCCCAGCACAAAACCACACCCACTGACCCATCCGTGCCAAGCTCCTGGCGAGTCACGACTGGCTCAATGGCAAAAGTGGTTGGTGGCCTCCTGGCCTTACACGCAATCCCCAAGAAAAGCACCCTGAGGAGCAGCAAACCTGCCCCTGCTCCAGCCCATGAACTGCCCTTGTGCTTGCCCAAGGGCCAGTCCCTGCTAAATTACCCAAAAATGTTTGATGAGAGGATGCAGAGGATGCACACCACCAGCATCCTCAGGCATGGGCTCAGCTCCAGCACTGGCTCCCTGGAAATCACAAGCACCCCATTCCCAGACTGGGATTAGAGTATAAGAACTGAAAATACACAAACCACCCTCTGAGCAGAGCAGTGGGGGAAGGTCCACCCATGGAGCACCATGGCTGTCACCAAAAAAAAAAACTTCCAGTGAACTTTACATAGAATAAATTGCCTGGGAAGGGGTGGATCACAACACCCTGTGCTTGCTGGGCTCCCCAGGGGGATGCTCAGTCCTGCCCAGTGCCCAGGGTCTCTGGGCAGAGGGAGCAGTGCCCATTTTGGGGCACTTCCACCATCATTCTCTTGTGCAGTGCAGCAGCACAAAAGCAATTCCCCAGCAGCACACCCTTGCAGTGTGACACATCAGGAAAACCTTCCTGGTAAATAGAGAAAACACAGAGAGCATGGCTGAGATTTTTCGGATATGTTAGCACAGCTTCTCTCCAGTAGGAGCCATCTCCCCAGGGAAGTAGAGGAATGAACCAACTGGTCCCCTGGGGGCTCTTGCAGTCCTGTTTTTTATGATCTACAATTTCCCAACAGTTCTTCACTGGATTTGCAGGCAGACGTTTGCAGAGGGATAACAGAGGCTCTCCCTCCCGCACGACAGCCGAGCCTTTGCTTTGGAGAAACACAACTGCTATAAGCAAAGCCAGGAAATGGGGAGGCTGCATCCAGCCCGGCTCAATGCAGCCATCGTGCTCTAAATAAATAATCAGATGAGCCACGGAGCACTGCCCGTGCCCGCCGCTCCCCTGCTCGCTCGGGAAGCACCGGGCAGAGGCTAAGGAGGGGAACTGAGGCCTGATGGGTGAGGACCACAGGCATGGTGGAGGGAAGGAGTGCTGGTGATGGGTTCCTGGTATCTGTTTGCCACTCATCTGAGCAGCTTTTGCCTGAGAAGAAGGGTTTGTTTCAGGAAATTACTTGGGCAGTTCCCCTCCCCTGCTGGGCTCCATCCCCAGCCATCAGAGAAGACCTGGTTTAACAGGGGATGCCAGAGAGTAAATTCTTGCAGGGCAGGGAGAGACCAGATGCCTAAATCTAGTGGAGAGGCTGAGACATGGAGAAGGAGGACTGGAGGCTGAGGAGGGCTGGTGTTTGGTGAGCACCAGAGGCTTTCCTCGCTCTTAGTGAGATGACTGGCTCACTGCTGGTGGCAGATGCAGCTGTGAATGCCACCAGAAACAAGTGGGTAAAGGGCATCTGGAGCCATTCAAGTTGCATTAATCATCCTGTCCATGACACCTGGATAACACCCTGCAGGCCCGGGGCTGCTGGGAATCCCCTTGACTCAGGAGCAGAGCTGCTCCCACAGCACCAGTCCTGCATCCATAGGGATGTGTGCAGGGGAGCACTTCACCCAGGGATGCTTGGGTGGCTGTGAACTGGAGCCAGAGCTGGAAACCTTCCCTGGGGTGACCAGGTCCAGCTCCTTATTTGAGTGCAACACCAAAAGCTATCCAAAAAAGCCCTTTTCCCTGTAAATCACAGGGTTCTGGAGGCTCCAGCTGGGCAAGGAGTGCCTGTCCTACAGACAAGGGCTGGATGCTGCTGGGTGCTGTGGGCTCCCTGCCAGGCAGCAGCAGCCACAGTGCTCACCTGTTTCAGCACAATCTGGGCCACCAAGAAGGTTAATTATATCTTTAAGTTTCTTTCAGTTGTCAGATCTTGTAACTATGGTCTCAAGCTGACAGTTCTGTACCCAGCAATTAACTGGCAGTGAGGCTTTGCAAGCAGCGGGGGAGGCTGGCCTTGTTTACCATCTCTGCACACAACAGGCTCTCAAAACATTCCCTTAATGGAGCTTAACAGTGCTGGCAAATATTTCCCTGGAAATCTCGCATTTGCCGATATGTTGCACCAACAAACGCCAAATCAATGCGGGCTCTGATAACGAAGGCTCCTCGTTAGGAGGCATGCGCAGCCCTGTGCCTGCTTCCCTCCCCAGACACTCTCTCAGGGCTGGAGCAATCCAGCAGGAAAAGCTGCTCGATCATCATCCTATTCCTTTGCTGCTGCTTCCTCTGATGCCCTGATGAACAGAGCTGTCCCAGAGGGAAGCAGGGCATCAGTCAGGACAGCCTTTCACCATGGGGCTCTCCTACCAGTCCCTGCTAAATGCTGGATCCAGCAGCACGAGGGGTTTGCTGTGCCCCTGAATGACCACACTGGGATACTTTAGGATCTCTCCCTTCACTGCAGTGTGTTTCACAAAGGCTGGAGGAGGAGGAGGGGTGGCCTCCTTCCATAGCAAGATTTCATGTGGCTTCAACATGCGCTGGCTCTGGTCCAGAGGGATGAACACAGGCTGCTCTGTGACAGCCACCCCCTCTTTGATGCTGAAGGGGAATGTCCTTTGTGCTGGGGTGGCACAAGAGGCAGGCAGAGGTCATTCAGCCATCCATCAGGGCTCTTGGCGAGGATCCCCAGTTTTCTGGAGGGGCAGATGATCACAGGACTCTTCTTTTCATGTTCTCAGGTGCTGATTTCACCTTCTGCAGGGACCACGAGTGGAGATCTGGTGCCACTGAGGTCCCAGGGGAGCCAGCCCCTCCTGCCAAGGTTGTCTTTACAGGGTTACCAAAACCTCCGCACTCCAACATCTCCCCAAGCCATAGCAGGATTTGCCCATATTTTCCACACTTCAGGAGTAATGCTGGTAGAGAGTTCACAGCTGTGGATACCTGGATATGCTGGAACGGAGGAAAGCACAGAGGAGAAGAGGATTGTTCTCCTCCTCTCCAGCTGCTGGTGGCTAAGGCACTCAGGTGAGTCCTGCGAGAAGGTGAGACAACATGAGAAGATCAAACAAGGAGCTCCAGGGCACAGCAAATGCATCTCATCACATCACCCACAGACACCCAGAAACATCACCTGGGAGCACCTACATGAGCTACATCTGTGTGTACCAGGTGGAGATCCCTGTAACACAGCTCCACAGTCACCCCCAAGCATGGGCTGGGAGCACGGAGAACATTTGTTGGGAATATAGCTACATTTGGGGATGGTTTGTACCTCCAAGAATTCAGCTAGAAATAATTGACAGGAAGATTTGCAGCCATCGGCAAACAATGTTTCTTTCCTGAAAGCAGCAGCACTACAGGGAAAACAAATTGAAGCAGGTGTGGGAAGAGTTAGGGAGCATAAGAATTGCATTCCTGAGCCAAATGGACAGATTGAGACAGAGGAAAACAAATTGGGAAGAGAAACGGCTGCCTATTGCCCAGATTTTCCAGGCACTAAGAGAAGGTGGAGGTTGGGTTCAGGCTCAGTTTCAGGGCCTGGGAGCTGTGTCTCTGTTTGGGCAGCTATGTTAGGGTTCAGCCTGGAGTGAGGGCAGATTTTGGGGCGCCTCTCTGCCCTGGGCAGTACTGGGACTGCAGTCCCTGGGGTCTGGAAAGAGCATCCTACAGAAGCACCAGCCCCACCACTGCGATGACCATGAGGAGCCCAGCCAGGATGCAGATGCTGATGAAGACGATGTCGCTGGTGTCCTGGCTCTTGACTTCACGGCCATCGATCGCTTCCCCCTCCCACTTCTGGGCATCCACCAGGTTTTCTGCCTGGCTGAGCCTGGATGGATCAGGGCCAGCAATAAGGGTCACTGAGGCTTCCTTCCTCTTTGGCTCACACTGCACCTCGTACTGGTGGATGTCCTCCTGGTCTCCCACTGAAAAATCAATGTAGAGGGTGCTGACGATGACAGATGTGTTGTTGCGTCTCTGCAAGACAAGGGACATGGCTCACCAGGGCTTTGTGCAGCTCCTTTTCACAGGGGTTTGGAGGGGCTGGCCAGGAATCAGGCCAGTATCTACTGGGAAAATGTGAGAGGGACTGGGAATACCTCTCTGCAGCCAGCACAGGGCTAACCATTTACACAGCTTGCTGTAAAGGAGGGTTTGCTGATCACTTACCTGGGATTCAGTGCCACAGGTGTCGAACCTGGTGTGTATTTTAAAGTTCCTGCCAACCACCTGGGCTGCACAGGAGGGGGTCCCCAAATAAATCCTATTCCTCTCCAGCTGGGCCAGGGACTGCACAGGGATCTGGATGTGGAAGTCTGTCCGGGTGCAGCTGACGTTCATGGGCACAACTATTGGGACAGAAAAGAGGGTGCACGTGTAGGAGGGGGGGGTTTCAGGACAAAAGTACATCCAGAATGCAGAAAGCAATCAATATCAGTATTTTAGCCCTGTCCCATGCCAAGGGCAGACATGGATGCCTCCCAGGTGTTGCTCTGCTTTCTGTCCAAGAGAGAGATCTCACCATCAACACTCCTGAACCTCATCCTTCTTCTAGGGTCTCCAAGTGACACACAAGTGCCATTACAGGCAACACCATCCTGCTGTCACTGCCACTCTCCACCACTGCAAAGCCAGCAGGACATTTGAGTTGCTGCCCAGGACCAGACCACAAGAGCTTTGTGGATGGCTTGCCATGGGCACAGCACTTCCCTGCATCCTACAACACCCCTGCAAGAGACACTACATTGATGAAACAGAGGAGACATATCCTGGAGGGACCCCATGTATGCCCTGGAGTGAGGCAGCTTCATGGCTGCCACATGGCCCTCCTGGGTCCATGGCCCTGGGGCATCTTCCTGAGGAATAACCCAGCCTGTGTTTGGCCTCTCTGGATGCAGAAAGCATCCACACAGGGAAAGAAGCAGGGAGGAAAAATAACCCCCTCTTTAGAGTGAATCCTTGCTCAGCATGAACTAACCACTTGGGCAATATGAATTATTGAATTATTCCAGCTCCTCTGAATCTCAGCCTTATGAAACTGGGAAGATGCAATAAAATCAATACAAAAAAATAGTGTCACTTTGCTTCGCTTAGTGCATTATAAAACCATTAGAAGATTTACCAAATAACTAAAGTGCATTAGATCAAGAGGAGGAGAAAGTGGATCCTCTCTCCTGACGTGAAGGCTTTCATTTCAATAGCTATAAATCACACATGCCCCACCCAAGCCTTGCCTTTTGGTGAGCCTGAAAGGAAAATACCTGCATGGCTGAAGGGCTGTGGGTGTGGATGCAGGGACTGAGGTGCCCCCTTGCCTCTGTGGGCTCCTGAGGAAGCTGCTGGCAGGGAGAAGCTGGTGTGCCCAGTGGGAGCAGCTGCTCTGCTGGCAGTGCTGGCAGCTGGGTGTGACATGCAGGACATTAATCACAAGCAGATGCTGGAATCACTGGGCAAACACAGCCAGCAGGCTCAGCTCTGTGGAGGGAGGCTCAGTTTCACATCCAAGCCTTTGTCCTCCCCTAGCATGCATCTGGCAGTGTGTACCAGGGGATGCAGGAGCCTTGGGCAGTCGTGAGATGTCACACCCCTCTCTGTGATGGGACACCCCCACTCTTCAGCAGCACCCCATCTATCTGTCTGCAGGCTGCTCCCTCTGGAGCAGTGACACCAGGATTTTCTCCCTGCACACAGCTGTAAACCAGTGAGAAATCAGCAGGACAAGGTCAGGGACAGACCTGCTGTGCACACTACAGCCCAACTAAATGTTGAGTACTACCTCTCTCCCTCTGGAGGCTGCAGAGACTCAGAACAAAACTCTATCCCATCTCCAACTCCTAGAGCCACATACCTTCAAATCCTTTCTGCTATGCTGGAGGTGAAGAACAATTTTGCAGCTGAAGGATATCCCTGCTCTGGCTCCAGCCTCTGGAAAGGCTGCCCCTGGCTGAATCATGCCTGACCCACGGGTCAGCTGGGATGTAATTATACTGAAATACAACAAATGCCATAAATTTGCTGGCGTTTGATGTGCAAAGGCTGGCAAATAGAGCAGGAAGGTTACACACTGCTCCTCCCACCAGCTGCAGACGTGCCAGACATGCTGGCTAGAACACAGCAGGCCAGCAGCAGGGGTGTGCCAGGCAGATTTGGGAATGCTGTGCCCCAGGGATCCTGCCCTCCCTGGAGGAGGGGACACGGTTCATGCCTGCCTGCTCAGCCATGTGCTGGCAAGGCTGGAACATCCAGGAGAGTGGGGAACAAGGTTGTGATGCTTGAGCTGGTCACCTGCTCTGGAGCTTTGGCCCATTAAAAACCCTCAGGTTTTCTCTCCCTCACACCCTGAGAGAGGAACAGGAGCTTGGCAGTGGCAGACACACAGGAATTTGAAGCTGGAAAGCATCTCCTGAATACTAAACACAACATGCAGCTCACTTGCCACGTCTTCCTCCACCCCACCCCTAAGGAGCCACGGGCTCTGCTCCTGCAGACAGGAACCTTCACTGATGATCTTGCTGGAAATTACATGGTCTCAGCCACGTCCCAATGGAACCACAGCACTGAGCAACACCCAAGTGGGACCTTACCTCCCACGTAGGAGATGGAGAAGCCCCTCTTGGCCGTGTTGCGGTCGGTGTGGAGGACCAGGAGCAGCCGGTTGGTGCGGGAGGTGACGGGTGCCAGGCTCTCCCGCCCACACCACCGGCCCAGCAGGGATCCGTTCTCGGTGCCACCATCAAAGGCAGACAAGTGATCATAGTCACAGCCACCTGTCAGGCTGCTCCGGCCCTCCAGCTCCATGTCCAGGAAGAAGACCTTGACCCGGTAGCCCGGAGGCAGCTGGATGCTCCACTGGCACTTGAGGTTGTTGGGGTAGAAGTTGGGGTACTGAGGGCTGGAGAAATTCCCTTTGATGGTGGTGAACACCTCCTGGCACTCCCCTACTCAGGGAAAAAGGGGAGAGGAAAAATCAAAAGCAAACCTGGAGCCTCCTGGGTGTGGATGAGTGATCACATGTTTTATTGCTAAGGTATGCTCTGCCCTTCACCTCACTGTTCCCAGCCTTGTGTTTGGCCAATGGACAGCCAGCAGTTTTGGGGGATGGAAACTCCCAGGGCAGTCAAAGTCCTACAGGAGCAACCCATATCCCCAGGGAATGGTATGAGCAAGGGTGACTCCTGCTCAAGAGGGCAACCCAGCGCTTGGAATAGCCACAGTGATGCCGTTTGCATTGTGTGGTGGTTTACACTTCACACCATCACCTCATGGGCTCTCTCCAAAGGGATCCCTCCCACGATCATCTCCTCTTACTGCTGAGGGAGGGAGAGAATCACCACCCCAACCCAGGGCCTGTCCCCACATCCTTCCCATTGCTCCACCACCCTGAGACCCCCGCACCCGAGTAGAAATGGGCCTTGAAGCCCCTGCCACCGATGTTGAAGTCCGACTTGAAGATGATGAGGAGGTGTGGGGTGGAGGAGACGGTGCGGGGCGGGCGGGCGCTGCCGCAGTAACGTCCCAGGCTGGGGGCAGTGACGCTGGGGCCATCAAAAAGGGCCACGTAGTCAAAGCCACAGCCCTGGCCCCCCTCCATCTGGAAGTCAGCAAACACCAGGGTGAGGGGGCCACCACCGCTGGCCCCCCCGACGCTCCAGCGGCACTCGGCATCGTTGGGGTAACTCTCGGGGTAGCGGGGGCTGGAGATCTCCCCAGAGAGCCCCGTCAGCTGCCCACCGCAGGCGTCTGCAAGGAGACAAGGGTGATGAGGGCAGTGGGAGAGAGAGATGGATGGATGGGTGCTCAGCGACCACCACACCTCCCTGCTACCTTTCCTGTAGGCAGCGGCGAAGCCGTGCTTGGCCACGTGCCGGTCGGAGCGGAAGACCACGGCCATGACGTGCCAGGCGGAGGAGAAGGGTGGCGGGGGGCTGTGGCCACAGAAGGTGCCCAGGAGGTTGCCCCGGTCCCGGGCAGCCCCGTTGTAGACCTGGAGGTAGTCGTAGGCGCAGGTGTCGTGGTACTCCAGCTCGAAGTGGCTGAAGGAGAGCAGGACGGAGGAGCCCTCGGCCACCACGATGAGCCATGTGCACTCTGTCTCGTAGGGATACAACCCCGGGAAGTTGGGGCTGGAGAAATTGCCAGAGGGTGCTGAAAGTACTCCCCCACATTTGATGCCTGGGGGACACAGAAGGGGGTGTGATGTCCCCTTTCCAGGGGAAGCCTAAAAGAATGGAGACAGGATGCACAACACCAGCTCCATCCCACCACCAGAGTACCAAAACACCAGCATCCTGCAGAACTCCACTGGGCTTCTCCACCCACTCTCCCTGGAGGACACATGTGCCCCCATCACCTTTCATCCCTCCTTTTTCCCCATGCTGCCCCTTGGGGTCTGCAGCAGGGTTCAGCTGCACTCTTGAGCTTGTCCTGCCAGTGCCAGCACAGCATCCCCACCTGTTTATGGCTGGGAAAAAGGAACTTGGGAGTGAGTTTTAAAGGCTCCATGGTACCAGGCTCGCCTGTGCCCCAGCTGCCCAGCCCTTCAGCTTTGTGCCTCCCACTGACCCCATTCCCTCCACACAAGGGTGGTATCAGAGAATTCGAGCTGGGAGAAGCAGGGGTAAAGGGCTCGATGTGCTGAACAATGAGTTATGCATGTAGGGATCGATTTCCTAATGAAATCTTTATACTGAGACATGGTTATTATAAAATAAGGCTGAGAGGGGCCGGCTGTCACCTGCCCCTGGGTCTGATTAGGACTGGGGTGAAGAGACTGATACAGGGGGAACATACATCATGTCTGGGAGGGATGCAGACCCTGCACAGCCCCCAGGAGACATGTGTGGGTTCCCAAACAAGGCTGGGCGCTCGCTGCCATCAATCTGGGCCAAGTATATTGCAAATCAATAGTCAGCCTGTGCACATTGCTTTTCATCGTGCTCACTGGCACAGTGACCTCCCAGCAAGGGGGATCCTGGGATGTGTGGGATGCAGCACCACGAGTGTGTTTCTGGCCAGATCTAAAATCACCTTGCTAATCACTGGGGATAGGCAGTGAAGTAATATGGGGCTGGTACTAAAGGAATAATGTTGTTAAAATAAATACCCAAGGGAGGAGCTTGTGGGAGAGGCGAGTAGCCACGGTGAAGACAGATGTATGAAGGGCTGGGAGCCTTGGGGTGCTCTGGCAAGCCCAGGTGGGTGTGTGTGGGGGATGAGCAGGCACCACAGGGCACTGGTGTGGCCGCAGGAGCACCTGCACCAGGGCCAGGGATGGGTTTTGATTTCTGGCTCAGCCTTTCTGTGAGAAAGGCCCTGCCGTTTTGGGATGGGGGACTGCTTGGGCCACCCTATCCCCTGAATCACTGTGTCATCTGCTAACCCTGCCCTGCATCCTGGAGGACCTTTTATCTGGGTAAGGTGAGAGATTTATTGCATGCCTGCCACATACTCATACATGCATACATTCACATATAAATGTATATGTGTATATAGATTTATAGAGGCAAGTGCAACTCCGAAGTCAACAGACCCTTCACCAAAGCACCTGTACCCCACAGCAGGACAAGCCCTACCTGCACTCCTCAGTAAGGTAAGCATGAAGCAGAAGCCCAAGCACAGAGCAGTGTCCCACACTTGCTGCCACCACAACAGTGACTCCAGATCCCAGCTCCTTGCCCCTGGCCTGAGCCAGCCCCTCTCCCTGCAGGACAGCTGGAATCCACTCGCACCCCAGAGCCACTGTGGCACTGCAAATGGGCCTCCCCTCCTCAGGAACCATGGGTGCCCATCCAGCCCACCAGGAGCTGGGTCCAGGCTCTTACCTCTGCTGGGAGCATCCCCGAGAGCCCTGCAGAGCACGGCCAGAGCTGCCAGACAGCCCAGCCCTGTGCACCCCATCCTCCAGCAGGCAAATCTCCCCTCACCAGTGCCCGAGCATCCTTTTGGAGCTGTCTATCTAGGAGGAAAAAAATAAATAAAGAGAGAAATAAATAAAAAGCAGGAGGACTGTAGAATTAATAGCGGAATGAATAATTCATCGCTTGTTTGAATTAAGAGCAGCAAGGTAACTTGATCTATTCCTCCCTTCCTTCACTCAGTTTTAATGATCTGGATCAAATGTCCCAAGGATTTACACTATACCAGATACCTTGTCAATACACTATATTTAGAAGAGATATTAATGTTTCAGAAATGGTGTATAACGGCAATAAGTCTGGGCTGACAATATGCCCTTAAGGGGCTATGAAAATAATTTAGTTCGCCGGGCAAGCCAGCGAACCAAAATGGGAATTTCAGACTTACCGCGGAAAAGCATCTCAGGAATTAACATGATTTATACTGCGGCACCCACTGCACAAAGCCAGCTGGTGGTGAGGGCTAGAGAAATAGGGAGCAGGACTGAAACGCAGCCGGCTGCCAGGTCAGCATCCCTGCAGCAGGAGTCCAGGCTCAGCGGGATGCTCAGCCCGGGAAAGCAGCAGTCGTGAGCACTAAAGATAGCAAATCCCACCTCCCCCGAGGAAGATTAGAGATGAATTGTGACTCATGGGCAAAAAACATCGATTATTATAGAACCTGCTAAGGCCTTGGAGAATTGCCACGTTCTTCCATGCTGGCTCACGCTACTTCTCGCCCAGGCTCTTGGATGCTCTCAGCTGAAGGTAAGCAAGCCTTTGGGTTTGGTGGGAAAGATGTGCTCCTTGTGCTGTGCCACATTAGCTGGAGAAACCCCAAACCCAACAGCAGCTCAGTTCCTTCCCTCCCGCCCAGGAGAGACTTTCCTGCTGCCACAGCCCACACCCACATGAATGCCAGGAAACAAAATCCCACCAGGGCCTCCCAGCGTGAGGGACCTGTGCTAAAAAAGTCACCTTCAAAGCAGCAGGGAGAGAAGCAGTGAGTATCTCTAAATCTCAGGCAGGAGACAAGTTGCATTTATTAATTAAGCAATGAGGATCGATGCCCAAGACATTTCCTGTGGATTAATGATGGGCTGGGAGGAGCTGATGGCCTGAGGTGCAGCTAAAGACCATTAACACCCACTGGTCATGAATCCCCAGGAAATGCTCCATGCCAAGGTCGTTAAGTGCCTGCATATATTTATGGGGAATAACAACAACAATAATATTTGTACAGGCTCTCTCCCCACTGCCCAGCCTTGCTGGAGCCATGCCGAGGGCTGCTGGGAGCTGTGGGACATCCCAGCCAGGAGCCCTCTATCCCGAGCCCAGCTGAGGCAGGGAACATTAGGTTCTGTCCCGGGGCATTGAGCACTGTGCCACCCCACCAGCACCAGCACTAAGAGCACAATGGAATGAGGAGGAGCAGGGCAGCTCCCCCTGTCCCTGGGCACTGTGGGAAGATCCTACCCCAGTGCAGGCTCTGGGAGATGCTGCAAGGCTGGCACATCTCCCGCTGACCTCCCAGGAACATTATAGAGCTTAATTAGCTGCTTCCCTAATGCCTTGGAGAGGAGGCCTGTCCTTGTCAACAAGTGTGGGCCCACACAGCAGAGATGCAGGCGAGGTCTGGCCATGGTACAGGGCCTCTCCCGGGTACTTTCCATTGCCACAACCCTGGTTCATCCAGGAGGAGTGCTCAGCCCTCCCAGCAACCATCCCCTGGGCTCAGGAACAAAGCTCCCCAGCTTCTGCAACTCTGCACTATGGAGCAACACGTTTATCCTCATCACATCCATCCTGGCCAACACCCGCTGTCTTCCAGCCTTTCCACCACTGCCTCAGCACCAAGCCAGTGCCCAGAACCCCGATCCCTGCACAGCTGCTCCTCTCCCTGCCCTTCGCTGTGCTCTGCATCAGCAATCCCCGGGAGATGGGGGGCCAGGGCCGTGCAGCACAGCAGCTGTGCCCCGCTCCCAGGGGACAGCATCCATCAACCACCGGCACATTCACCCTTCTCCTGACCCGGGGATGGCCATTCCAGGCTGGGCCTGAGCCCAGGCAAGCCGGTTGTCAGCTGAAGAGTTGGGTGGGAGGGTGGAGGGAGGCAGGGGGAGAGTGACATGCAGCAGGGAAGCAGAGGAGCCAGGCACAGAGGTCTGGCTGGAGGTGCTCTGGATCAACCCAGGGTACTTCTGCTCCAGCCACGGACATGGTGGGTGATTTCAAGGTGTGCCTCTGTTCCTCTGTGGGCAAATTTATAAATCATGAGTCAAAAAGGCATTTGATTCATTTAAACAGAAAGGACGTGATCAGGACTGTGAGACTTCAGAGAAGATCAAAGGTTTAAAAACGGTCCCCAGGAGAAACAGGAATTATTTAGGCAGGAAATAATGAGATGAAATTAAGAAGGTATTTAGGCTGCACACGAGAAAGAAAAAAGGAAGCGAAGCAAAGCCCCTCTGCCCTGCACAGTGCTGCATGGGTGGCAGGGGTTTCCTGGGGGCAGCCAGAGATCAGGAGCATCCCACTGCCTGGCAGGAGAGGCAGGATGTGAGCCCCTGCCCTGGCTGGGCATCGGCCACCCACCCGAGCTCACACACCTCCAGCTCCAGAGATGCCCCAGTCACCAACAGCACCAACACTGATTCCCCACAAAACTGCCACCACGGGGTGGTTCTGGGCCTCCAAAGGGAAGGAACCTCTCACCTTCCTCTGGCAAGGAATATTCTGCACTTTCCACTCCACATCCCTCCCTGCGTTTGCAGGAATCCACGCCATCCTCTGAAAGGGGCTGTCCCCACGGGGGATGGCTGGGATGGGGGGACTCGCGTTAGAGCCAGCCTGAGAAACAACAAAAGGCAGGAGGGGGAAGGGAGAGAAGGGCAGAAAATAGAGAACAAAGTGCCTGCGGGCGGTTTAAAGGCTCCTTCGAGCTCCTGCTTCCAAGGACATCATCTCCCCCATGGAGAATGTCTCGCGAAGCCGCTGTCCCCTCGGGCGGGACATGCCCCGCTCCTCCCGCTCGGCCGCAGCCCGCCCTCGCAGGATGGCAACCCGCAGCACTCACAGCTTGCTCCGTCTCTCACCACCCTCCCTTTGAGCCACGAACAAAGACGGAGCTGCGCGGCAGAACGGCCGGACCAGCTGGGTAGGGTTTAACCATCGTGGCCCATATGTGCTGAAATACCCAGACATATTGGGGTTGTGTTTAAAGGAACAGTCCCAGCTTTCACGCTGAAAGCCGGCGCTTTTCCAAGGCGAGCGTGAAGTTTTTTACCTTGGGCCTTTTGCAAAAAGGTGGGGTGTGGTTTTAGCAAAATCTCAAAGAGACATAATATTTAAAGCTAGAGGACTAGAAGCAAGGTTTTCAAATACTTAATATCTGACAAAAAAGATTTTGTCCATATTCCTAGCTAAGGCCAAAGTAGGGAGAGCAACTGGAGAAAGCATCTCATTATTTTATCAGCCTGTGTGCAAAGCACCTTCACTACACAGTGACTTAGGGAGGCTGAAGCACAGCATGGATTGGAGATGAGAGCTTGCCTTGGACTGACCATGGGCAACTTCCCTGGATCTCCATGCCTTTAAAGCCAGAACCCCAGTTTGGGTTAGGAAGATGGCTTTCTTGTCAGCCCTTTCTCCAAGGAAGTTAATATGAAAGCTGCAGCTACACTTGAATAATTCCAGGCATTTGGTAACTGGAGACAAATCTCAGCAGTGCAAAGGGAACTTACACTCCCTCCCAAATGTGTGAATCAAGCCACCACTTCAGTGCACGCTGTGTTTTTTGTGTAACAAACTACATTTCCTTTGTGTAGTGTTAGACACAGGTAACAAAGAAGCACGATAATGCAATAATCATCTGAGACAGCCTGGAAAACTCCAACACAGGATGAACTGGGAATGAACAGAAAGACACAAGGTGTGCAGGACTGTAGTATTTCCAGGTGTAGATACTAAACACACCAGTCTGAAAAGGTAAAAGTGTGGATAGCACATACCTCAGAGAAAAAGCAGCAGCATTTTGGACTGAAAAAAAGAGGAAGAGGCCCAGGTGCCCGGGCTGGGTGCTGTGCCAGGCTGCCATCCCTGAGGCAGCTCCCTGGCTCTGCTCCCTGACCCACAGGGAAGCACCCCAGCAGAAACCATGCAGCTTTCCCTCCTCAGGTGGTGTTTCTGTATGCTTAGGGAACCTCCTCAGGCACCTGAGAGAGTCCTGTGACAACATCAAACAGCTGTTTATTTGTAAAGAGGTTCAATTTAACGAGCAAGGGTTATGATACAACACTTAGGGGACATGGAAAGCAAATAACCATCCTCCCTGACAGACAGCAGCCACCACCCAGCCACGCCCTCCCAGATTTAGGACGTGCTCTTTGTGTCCCCAGGTAGCATTTCAAGGGCTAAACACAGGGTAGGTAACACAGGCTGTGCCAGGACAGGAGCTCAGCCTGCCTAGGTTCTCTCTAGACAGGATGTATCATTCCATCCTTATGGATACTTTTTCCATATATAGCTGGAAAGGCTGTTTTCAGAGACCAGTGCCACTTTCTCTGTATTAATGTACAGTGGGGCAACTGAGGCACAGTGAGGTTTAAGGGACTTGCCTGACATCAGCCTGCACATGACAGAACCAAAGTGATCCCAAGTCTGCTGTCCCCTTGGCCTGGCAAGAATTCCTGAGGATTATATCTCTCCTCTGGACACCTAACAGGGCACAACACCACTGCAGAATAACACAGATTGCAAAGCAAGTCACCAATCCTCATATTACAGCACAGCTGTGTGCATGGATGCTTTCTAGTACCCCTAGATAACTAGATGCTTTCTAGTTATCTAGGAGATCTCTCTCTTAAAATTGCACTTGAAGACTTCCATTAAAATGGTCATGCAGGTCCCTGAAGTATGGGTGGCACACCGTGTACCAGCCATTCTGGAATGGCACCTGTTCCTTAAAACACCCCAGAGTGAGGATCAACAAACAGTTGCTCCAAGGAGCTCAGTCTTCTGAGCAGGCCCATTTTGTGCAATGTCTGCAAAGAAACAAGGACATCCAAGGCTCAGCCTAAGGTTCCTCAGGTCAGGAATGTACTGCTAAAAGACAAAACAGGAATCTTCTTCAATTCCTGCAGCTTTCAAGTATCTACTCATATCTTCACTGAATGCAGAAGAGCCACAGATTAATACAAATGGCTTTCTTCGACAGGAATTTACTATTGTCTTCATCAAGTCTTCATTGAGACGACCAGTGTACGTGTTTTCCTGATAGCTCCAAGGAAGTTCTTCCAGCGAAGTTTCCTGGAAAGGTAAAAGGTTTGCTGTGTGTGATATTAAGAAAGACAGCATTCCTTAGAGCTAAATCTCCCTCCTTCCCTCAGAGTGGTGCACAGGATGTTTTTCACCTTTGTGACACCTTGTGGGTGACACTGACCCTTCCTGAGAGCTGCATTCCTGTTCCCAAGCCCAGATGAAATCTTTCCCTGGCCACTCGCTCAAAACCAGAGTGTAACTACCACAAATAAATGCTGCAGAACCTTTTCCATTGAGAACCATCTCCCAGGGCACCTTTCCTATTTCCAAATCCCAAGTCCATTCCTCTCCATTGCCTCTCCCATTCCCAAGTCTCTTTCAGTCCCATCTCCCTTGACCAAAACTGAAAGAAGCCAGCTCTGCTCCAGAGACAGCTCTGATCCCATGAGAAGTGTCAGCTCCTGTGGTGCTGGATCCAGCAGGGACTCCCCTGCTGCAATTAATCAGGAGCAGAAGGTGCTCAGATGTGGTGGTGACAGGCAGCACAATGAAATACAGACAGATACATAATCCCAAGAGGGAGGATGCACAAGCCAGCCTTGGACTACCACAAACCTGCTAAGAGAGGAGGAAAAAGGGAGAGAGGAGGGGCAGACAGTGTTGACAGGGGTCAGGTGGGTTTCGTGCCCTTCACTGATTGAATTTCAAGACCTCCTCATGCTCTTGAGACAGCAGTCAAAGAGTTTAAACACCCTGAAAAGGGTATTTAAGCCATGTCACCAGAGACAATTATGGTTATGCTCCTACAGAGCAGCTGAGGGGGTGCCCAAGTCACCAGCACTTTTCCCTCTACCAAATCTCATCCTGCTGAGGCCACGTGTGGAACAAAATGTATGAGGCAGTTCCACTGTGAGAGATTCAAGAAATGATTCATCTGAGGAACTAAAAATGCAATGGGATTCATTCCCTTAGCATAAATAATTCTTTCTATATCCTCCCAGCAATGAATCCTCATTTCTGACGGAAATAATTTTTAACCACCAAATCCATGCAGAACACAGGCAACTTTGGGACCAAATGGAAATGAAAAAGACTGCTCAAAATGTAAGACCTTTGAGAGGTATGCCCTCATCCCATGAATGTGGCAGAAAAGTGATTTTACAGAGGGGGAGACAACTTTCAGAAGTTTAAAAATGGGTCAGCAAGGAAAAATAATTGCTGGGAAGTTGGTGCTAGCATACCAGAGGAGAGCTCTAGCCACGAGCTAAGAATGGAAGATAAGGACAGATTAAGGCAGTGGTATTAGGAAGAAAGAAACAGCTTATTTGCTGTTTAGGTGCAACAACAACTGTCTAAAATGGGGGGGAATAACCAACAGTGACTATGGAGCAGCAGGTCCACCCCAACAGAACAGGGAGGCAGAGAGGAACAGTCATGGCCACTTCCCCAAAATTCTCCAGACAAGTAGCAGTGTGAGTACATGCAGCAGATTTAAGAACAGCAGCTACTGGATCACAAATTAGGCCTGATGACTGGGAAAGAATTAAGCTCATGCTTTGCTTATGGAAAAGTGGAGGAGGCAGAGGCTCATCCAGCACACAGAACCCTCATACAAACATGCTTCATATCCATTTATTTACCTGGCTTAGGACATAAAATATTCTAATATTCCAGTACCGAGCCAAATCCTGCAGAAGAGGTTTTAAATAAATTTTGTCAAAGGTTGGGAAGCAGCCAACAAGAGTTACAAAGGTTTCATCCTCTTCATCATCTGTTATGGACTGGAGGATGGGAATCATTGGTGCAAGGCCGGTGCCAGAGGCCAGCATGAGGAGTTCTCCATGCTAACAACAAAACAGAGAATTTGGAATGAGCTGTGGTGGCTGGAAATGGGTGTGCTCATGGTCAGTTCCTCTTGCTGCCACCCTGGTAAAGGGTCTCTTGAGAAACAACATACCAGAAGGTCATGAACTGGTAAATTCAGATCCCAAAAAGTATTTTTCTGCAAAGGACTACAGATAGCAGTTAAGGAATTGACATATCAAATCTAACAAAACTGGATTTTCCCCAAATATATTAATTTATCCTAACTTTAGCCTTGATTTCAATTATTCATGTTTCAGTTTCAATTCTGCAGTATGCTTTGCTGACCCACTGTGTGTTTTCTTCCACTGGAAATGCTCCCTGGGTTTCTCTTGGTTACTGCAAAGTAAAATCCTGAATGTCCTCTGGAGGAAACGAGTGTGTCAGGAAGCAGGACACAATTGCTCTGCATAGAGCTTGGCCACTCAGATTTTACTTATTTTTGTTAAGGGAAAATAAAAAAACAAACAAAAATAAATCCACCAAAAACTCCAAGTGTTTGGGATCTTAATGACCAGTGTTTCAAATTTGCTCCTCATTTGAAAGGTCAGAATTAAGTAACTGAATTAGTGTGTGTGAGAAGCCTCCCCCTGAAACCAGATCTGCCTTTCCCTGCAGCCAGCCTGGTATTGGCAGGTGGGATCAGCATTTGGGGAGCGACCTGACACCTCAACAGCTCAGGGAATACCCAAGAGAGGGGAAGATTAACACCTCCCCTTCACCCCTACTCACTTACAACACAGAGATGTGGGTCAAATCAGGCAAAAACCCATCCACACTCATTGCTGGTGCAAAGAAAGTTCCCTTTGTTAGGCACATCAGGAACTCCTAATGCAAGTGATGAACACACAGCCTTGCTAATGTTTTCCTGTCTCCCATCTACCTCCTCCTCCCTGTTAAATATTCTGCAGTTCAAGAGAGCGCTCCAACTGACTGCTAATGCTGTCACACTGTACAGTAACCCAGGAAGTCTCTAAAATAATCATGAAAACAGTAATCAAATTGATGTCTTCCCTTCAGAGTATTGAACAAAGCCTGCTGCCACAGGCTGAAGCATCCTATGGCTCTTAGGAACTAACCTTATTAGGTTGATATGGGAACCCTCCAAACGGCCCACGCCAAAAGACCACGTCTCCTCTTTTCCACGTTTTTATGTATTGTGACATTAGTCCAGCTTCATAGCACTAATAAAAAACATGGCACAAAAGAAAAGAATAATTATACTCCATTGGAAAGTTTCCCAGCTTAAAGTCGATTATAAAGTCATCTACATTTAAACGAAAAGAGGACAAAAAAAACATTTTGTGTATTTAAAAAAAGAAAGAATGATCTGTTTGAAAAATAACTCAAAGTTATACCCAAAACAAAGACATTTAAATTAAATCATATTGGAACCACTCCAGTTTGACTATAATGTAAACACAACCCTCTCATGCAGCCTGAATTTCCAAAACTGGAAAAAGCTTATCAGAGTTCTTGCTTACAAAGCACACAGAGAAGAGTGTCTTGAATGCAAAGCACAGTGCAGGCCTTCAAGTGTTCTCCAGATCTCAGGGTATGGGGGTCTGGAAATGCCCTCTGGGTACTGTTAGTTATATAAACACCGCACAGCTCTTGCTTTGTTTCAGTCTCTCAGATGCTGCGCTGATACAATTAGTGACCCAAAGTCAGGCTTCTCATTTGTAAAACTCTTTGTTTTCAGACCAGATCATCTGGATGCTGAGGGATACCTCCACAGTTCCAAAAGAATATGTTAATTTTGGCCCCATGGAAGAAAAACACGAGCAAAAACCTGCCTCACTTTCCACCAGGCACAAACAACACTGCTGTTGCCTGCAGGAATGCTGACCTCGCTCATGACTGAGGAGAAGGACTCAGTGCTTGCTGGAAACTGAGAAGGGATGAGAGGCTGGAAAATGAAGGGCTTATCCAAGCCTGGATGTTGCCATCCATGCCCTAAATGTGTGACCACTGAATGTTTTAAGAGAGAAATGTGAGCAAAAGAGCAGGCACAGTCCAGGATGTGGCTGGAGAACCAGGACTGGCCCAAGCAGCAAGAGCTGAAAAGCCCAAAGCTGCAGCACACAATGGCTCTCACAAGAATAACCCTGGGGAAGAGCAACACAATCAGGGGTCAGAAGATGGGATGTGATACAAGCCCTTGGCAACTCCAGCCCACACAAAAGAAGTGTATTTGGGGGTATTTCCTGCACAGGCATTGGAGAGAAGCCTGGCTCCACACCCCAGTGCCTTGGCTGGCCACCAAGCTGCACTGCAGGCAAACAAAATTGGTGAACCACAAAGCAGCTCAGAAAAAGCCAGTGAGGGAGCCTGTGCTTGTGCTTGCAAGCAGTGTTAGCTAAGAAAGAACACAGATGCTCCTCCTCTCCCAGCCTCTCACTTAAACCTGAAATATTAAGAAGTATTAGCACGATTCAAAAGGTAAATCACACACATATCCAGGCTCTGAGTTATTGTCAGAATTGTTTTATGTTCAGAGGGCTCTGGGCAGGTGCTAAGTCACGTGCAAAGAGTGTGCACTTGCTTCAGAGAAGTAAATTTTAAACCTCCCTTCTTCAAACACATCCAGAAACCCAAGGCAAGAACGGAAAAGTTCCCTTACTGCCTATTCCCGAAGGACAGGGGTAATGGAAACTAAAACAATCCTTCTTTCACCAAAATTATTTCCAAAAAAATTGAAGTGATTGAGTGGGTTTAAAATGAATTTTTCTAAATAAAAAGGAAAAAAAAAATATATCTCCTGGGGGGAAACTTCCACACCCCATTTTACATGGAGAGAAACCCTAACATTATAAAATCACTCAAAAAGAGGGTTATGCTCTGTAAATGGCAACTCCCTCACTCTTAACTGTAGTATCACAAATGCAATGCCATAATAACAGGAGACAGAAGGGTTTGAACAGTGCTTGGATTGCATAGTAATAATAATATACTACTTTCCAAAATTGCCTCAATAGTGTGAAATATACCACAACCTACAGAGTGAGTTATAAAAATGGCTGCTTTACACTGGGTGTTACCAACCTCTTTTGTCACTGCCAAAGAATAACTATAGCTCCTTTTGGGATGAAAGGTTCTATATAAAGGAAAGGTATCATTACAATCATTACTATTATTATTGAAATGCAAAACCTGTGAGTAATGAGCTGCTATACATGAAATTTCACAGTCATCCTATGAATGTATCCTATTAATGCAACTCAAATGCAACGTTTCTCTCCCCTACCACACACCAATTGCCACAAGAATGGGGAAATGACCCTCCCACAGGTGTCCTAGAGAAGCTGTTCACTTTTCTAAAGAGCAGGGATTGTGTTAGAACACACAATGCATAATAAACCCCAGAAACATGAAATCCTGGAAGACAGGCAGAGAACAAGTGGCCCTTCTCTACAAGCCACCTGGGATACCCAGCACTCTGAATTTCACACCTGTACTGAAGTCTGTGTCTGCCCTGGTGACATACAGATGCAGTATTGGAAATATATTCAAGTCAGTATTTGCCACACAAAATAATCACCCTGAAGACTGACATGAGACAAATTTCCAGCCAAATCTCCTATAAAATCCTTTTGAACTCAACCAGCATTTTGTGGTTGACTCCATAAGGGTGAGGACACTTGTCAAGTAAAATACAGAGGGGAGGATAAGGGCAAATATTTCCCAAAATCTGTGGTTCAGCTGGGCTGACAAATGGGTGCAATTTCAAAGACAGCCCGAAAAAGCAAAGCAAAAGGAGAGAAGTGAAATGGACACATCTCTCCATCCCAGGGGCTCTCCCAGGTGATCCCAGGGCTTCTGCTGCAAAGCACTTGTTTGTGTGTCAACTCATTCTGCTTTCAGTTTTGTAGGAAAAACTGCAATTTTTATCAGCAAAGCACGAATGCTTCAAAACAACAGAGAAACAGTCCATGAGGGATTTGAGAGAATCTCACTTGAAACACTGACAGCATGCTTGGTTCCTAAAGAAAACACCTTATACTCTAATTCACACTGTCCAGGCTTACTTACTTTGATTAGAACTTCAAAGTAACCTTCTGCATTCCTGGGGCTAATTGGAGTGTAGGCTCTCTGGACCTCCAGACCATTCACCACTCCTCTGAGAAGAGAAACAGGAAATCCCTGTGACTTGGGTCATTTGGGGGGCTCCTGCAGCTCTCTGGGAGACAGATCCTCTGCCCAGTGGCCCAGCCTGTGCACAGATGCAAAACATTTCCCTTCCAGAGGCAGAAATCCAGGGGGAACAGAATGGCTAACAGCACCTTTTGTTTTCCCGGTGGTGGCCTCAGGTGTACCACATCCAGCTCCTGAAAGGGATTTACCACACCCCTGAAAGGGATTTTGTAAGAACATGCATGAGCGGCAAAGGGGAGAGGAAACACTTAAGTTTGCTGTTCCTTTTAGGCTGGGGTCACTTTCTGCATCTGGTAATCAAATAACAAAAGCCAAGGCACAGCCTTGACCTCAGGCCTTGTCAATATAGACTGTATTTTCCTGTAAGTATTCCCTTTCCATGGAATTATCCACCCTTCTCTTTGCTACTGACCGCGGGAATTGATTGAAGTGACCAAAACTTTTTCTGTGCTGTGTGATGAGGCAGGGCTGGAGGGAGGAGCGTGTGCTGCCAGCAGAGCCAGCTGCACACACCAGCCCTGAACGTACCAGGGACATCAACAGATGCACATCAATGGCATCCTAACAGGACTTTCTCTGTCTGGCAATGATCACCACAGATGGCTGAGAGACAGAAACTTTCCCCAAGTGGCCCCTTTCTGGCAAGCAGCAAACGACATAGGAGGGTTGTTTTGCTAGAAATCAGTCAGGCAGTGCCTGGGTACTGGGGTGCTGAGTTACCCCAAGATACAGGGCCTGAAACACCCAGCTCTGCGGCAAGTGCAGCTCATTGTCTTCATTCCAACACGCTGGAGTAAATAATCTGTTGTAACATCTATTCTTTTAGATCTTTCTTTCTGCAAATGGATTTTCTTAATCACACCTAGTTCTTTCTGAGCCACCAACGCAGGGATAATGCTGAAGAAAACTACAGCTTTTACCATAGAATTAGTAGAGGCAGCGAGCTCACGAGCTCTTTCATTTGTGTCATTGTGGAGGTACAGAAATCATGATTTGCCTGCTATGAAGCCTTTGTCTAGTGACAAAACCCTACGTGTTAGGTTACATAATGCAGACTGTTTAACTAGCACAGAGAACAATACCTTAACACGATATGTTGTCCTAAACTCAATGGCAGGCTGCTATTTCCCGGTAATTCAAATTTGTACTGGTAGGTGTCCTCTGTCAGCTGCTGCACCGAGCTCACGCTGAATGCAGTGAATGTATCTGGATTCAGCTCTGAATTATTGCTCTGCAAGAACAACAATAAATAATTACTTGGTTAGATGGTGTCTTTTATTATTTCATTTTTCTCTGGAAGCAAACGTGTGTGCTCATTTAGTGCCAGAGATACTCAGGACGTATATTAAACACCGAGGCCCGGCGCAAATTCCAGCTCTCTGCTGATTCATTATCATGTTCTGCAGCGTGCACTTTGGGATCTTGCATTTCTCCCCACCACCACCTTTTTAAATTACTTTTTTTTACACCTTACAGCAAGGTCATCCTATTATGACTCACTGTGATCATTTTCTCAGGTCTGGAAACAAACAGAAATAATTCTGCTAAAAGAGCCAAGCACTGCTTTGGGGGCAACTTTGCAACCTGCTGATGGCCACAGTGAACAGAAAATATTGTCAGTTGTTTCAGCTGATCTTTTTTGCTTGACCCAGCATAGTTAATCTAACGTAAAAAGGGCACTGACAGGCTTAAAAATTACACTCTGAAGACAACTGCTCCACTGCACACAACGCAGTGTTGTCTCAGCATCAAGATACGAGCCTAAAAATCAGGCAAAGATGAGAAAGGTGAGGAAAACAAAGCTTCTCCAAGGAAACTCGGAGAGGAGACGCTGCAGAGCCAGAGCTGTAATGCGACACCAGGGAGAACTCTACACTTGGAAAATCACATTACAGCAGGGAGAGTGGCCAAGGGGGAGGGCGAAGGCTGAGTTTGGGGAATTGCATTTACAGCCCTCTCTTAAGGCACCACTTGAATTCATCCCTGCATCCCTCACCCATCACCACCACCCCACACTGGAACAAGTGCGATCAAAGCACAAGCTCCAGGATGCGATGAAGAGAAATCGACCTGCTCCTCCTTTCCCACGAGAAGGCTTTTGTCTTGCATTGCTTTGGCTCTCTCCCACCGTGCAAGCTCCTTCTCGTACACATCGTAGATGCAGGGCTTGCAGCCGCTGCCGCAGCACTGGGATGGAGAAGGTTCCTGGGGCCTCAGAGCCAGCCAGTCCTCCTCGCTGTCACTCATCGCCTGCAAAACACAAGCCCTGCATCAAACCCAGCACGACGAAAAGCAGCGTGTGCTCATCAGCTGGGTGTTTCGGGGAAGGACAGGAAATCTCTCTTGAGCGTCTTGCGCGTTTAGACTGAAAACCTGGAGCCGATCTGTGCCTGCAACACCCCAGTTGTGCTGGAGTGCTCAGTGTCCCTGCACGAACAGCAGCCCAGAGCAGAGCTCAGCCCAGCCTCGGGCCCTCCTCCCCAGACAGGCTGCCCAGGCAAAGCTACACCCTTTAATCCCGCTCGTTCCGCCGCGCTGATTTCCTACAATAGAGCCGCTTGGTCACCCGGAGCAGAAACATCTTAAAAATCCGCTGCTCGGTCCAGGAGAAAGGGTGACAAACCCAAGCAGCAGGACAATGGGTAACAAACCCAGGCACCAGCTGCGGCCTGAGCGCTGCGCAGCTTCGGAGCGGGGGAGGGCAGCGAGCTGAAAGCAGCGCTCAGAGCCAAGAGACCTGAGGCAAAGACGGCGAAGTCTCCGGCAAACACCCACTTTGGTTACGGGCTTTGGATACACGGCTTTAAACGCACAGGTAGGGGAGGCCAGGAAGCAGAGGATTTTATCCCTTGCTCCCGTTGCTTCCCAAGGAGTTGCACTCATCGGGTCAAAACCACGCTGCAGACATCGCGGGGCCCCTCCGCTCACACCCGGCCCGAGTGAAGCCGCTCACAACGCACCCGTGTCCGCAGCCCTCGGACACAAAGCGGTCCACAGGAAATTAAGAAGCCACGGGTGACGAAGCGGAGGAAGCGAACATTTAGCGCTTCCAGCAGTTTCGCTGTCAAGGTCAATTAATTAACTAACCTTCAGCCCTGTAACAGAAACACACTCATTTCAATGAGGGAGGCGGGGAACGGAAGAGAGAACCAAAGGCGACTCGCCCGGCTTCCTACCGCCCCGTCCGCCCGGAGCACCCACGGGCTATGCACGGGAGGGTAACCCCCGTGGCCGGGGGTGAGTCCGAGAAGCCCGGGCTCGGAGCTACGCAGATTTACAGAGCTCCGAGCACTTACTGTGCGCGCCCGGGGCAGAACGGCCCCAGCCCCGGGACACCCGAGCTGGCTCTGCCGCCTCCCGCCCAGGGACGGTCTCTCAAGTGCCCCCCCGCCGCCCCACAGGCGAGGAGTTGCCTCTCCCCGCCCACCTCCCACTCGCCAACCCAGCGCCTGCCCTCACCCGCCAGGCAATTTGCCGACCCTCCCTTACCGCGGGGCGCGCCTGCCCGCCATTGGTCGCCGCCGCCGTCAGTCGGGGGGGTGACGGTGGGGGACGAGCCCTTGCCAAGATGGCGGCGGGCGGGCGCTGAGGCGGCGGCGGGAGGAGGAGGATGGCGGCGATGGCGGCGGGGCCGAAGGCGCTGAGGCGGGCGGGGGTGGTGGCAGCGGCGGCGGCGCGGGGCCTCACCCGCGGCATCGCCACCCGCGCGGGGCGGCCCCGCCACCGCGCGCCGCTCCCGCGCACGCCCTGGACCGTGCGGGGTCCGCCGCCGGAGGTGCTGGCGGAGATGGCGGAGCCGCGGCCGGTGCGGGAGCAGGTGGAGCTGGACACCGTCACGTACGCGGAACGGCTGCACTACGTGCCCGGCCTGGCCCGGCCGCGCTTCCCGCCCTGGGAGCGCGGCTGGCGCGACCCCTGGCACTCGCCGGGGCCGCGCTACGAGGAGATGCCGCTGTACAAGGAGCGCGGCTGCTACATCTGCCATCAGGGTGTCCGCATGCTGGAAGGTACCCGACACCCCGCGCTGTCCCCTGCCAAGCACTCGCCCTGCCTGCCCCTCCTGCCAAGGGTTCTCCTGGCACAGAGTGTAAAACACTGTGAAGAGCCTGCCCAGCCGCATGAGCTGCCAGGCGGCCTCGGCCACAGACAGAGTGGCTGGGGTTGGAGGGGGGCATTGAGCATCACCGCCGTGTGACAGACACATCGCCTTGGGTTGTGTTTCCAGGAGTGCGGCAGGCGCAGTGGCTCACCAAGACGAAGCTCGTGGAGGGTTTGCCCCCAGCCGTGCAGGGCATTGTGGATAACCCGGCTCTTGGGCTCCAGGAGCTGGAGGAGAGGGCGAAACACATGGTGTCCCACGCGCGGCTCTGGGACACGGCAGAGGTTGCTCCCAGGAGGGAGCGATATTGGTGAGTCCTCAGCTGTAAGGGAGGTTTTAAACTCCAGAGACAATTCATACACAGCTCTTCTGTGGGAAGAGGGTCTGCTGTGCAAGACCCTCTTCATCAGATTGTCAGACAAAAAAAGCAACAGCCAAAGCAACAAATAAAGCCCAATTCTGAATATTTACAGTAGCACTTATATAAATACACTAGATCAAAGCTTCTTTCAGGCCAATGTCTCTCTGTTTCAACTCAAAATCTACTAGCTGATGCAGAGTATCAGTTTTTAAAGTAATTGTAAGCATTACTTCTGCCAACTTGAAACAGGCCTGGTGTGTGTGATACCAATCTGCAATATCTGTGAACTGTTTGGGAGTGTTATGCCACTGTATGTTTTACATACAGTAATTTTACAGCATTTGTCCCCCGGAAGCATCTGCCTGCTATTATGATCTCATTTTTATGTAACTGTTTCTTTTCTTGTTTTGCAGCCCAATGCTGTTTGAAAACCTGATACATATATGCCGGTTAATGTCTGGGAAGTATCCTTCTCTGAGTAAAAGGATGTTGGCTAGAAACTTAAGGATAGCAGCAACATGGAAAAGAGGTCAGTTGCTGCTGTGGTGGAAGCATTTAGCTTTGTAAGATAAGAGGGGTAGTAAAGCTCCTGGCTTTAAGGCTGCGGACTTGGAAAAAATTAAACAATTTCTGGAGCCAGGTAATTCTTTCTGGTTTAAATAGCACTGTTGGCATGGGCAGCCTTGGATGATGGCAGGATGCTGTCCCTGAGGAGATTATTAGGTGTTAATCAATATTGACAAGATGGTGGGAGAAGGGAACCAATGTCTTAAACAAACCAAATTGTTTATTTTCTTATGTCCTAAATCATTGCTGTTGTTTTTCTAAGGATGTTTAGTTAAGAACTTAGCTCTAGCAATTAACGTTGGCATTTTAGATGAAGAAGCTACAGCTGAGCTACCATTTAAGATGGGTTTGGAGGTGAGGGGGACAGAGTGAGCCTTGCAGAACAGACTGGCAAAAGGAAATGTGCATCTTTCCCTGATGTTATTTCACCAGTGTTTGACTGTAGCCTAATTTCCCTCCCCAGAATCCATCCTCCTTCAGGTCCGTGGCCTGAGTGGAATTCTCATGACCTCTAAGACCCCAATACCAGCAGTAGCCTCCAAGGAGGAGATACTGGCCACCAAAGAGCATGTTCTGGAGACCTTCTATCCCATTGCGCCTACAATCGATCTTCAGGAGGTGAATGTGTACAAAGAGCTCAATGATACAGGTCAGTGCTGATGATAATTATCTGTGTTTGGGTTAGCTTGGCACTCCTGGGCCTTCTGGGGCCAGCTGAGAGTAGGGAGTGTGTGGGAATGAGGAGCAGGCACAGGTTTGCAGTGCAAGTGCTCCAGATCCCTGTGTGTATATTGTTGCCTAAGCAGGGCTGAGGACAAAACTCAAACCCCAGCAAACTGCTTGAGCAGTTCCTGAAGATAATGGGAGAAAGCCTTGGCTGCCTAGTGTCTTCCTGAGCTGTTTCTGACATGAGTATGTGCCCTTTAGGTTTCAGAGATGGTTATCCCTACTCTCATCCTCACACCCTGTTCTTCCTGGAGTCTGCCAACGTTCGCACGGACAGGTTCAGACCAGAACAGCTCCGTGCTAAAATGCTGATGTTTGCTTTTGGCAACGCGCTGGCCAAGGCCAGGGCGCTCCACGGGGTACGTATGGGAGCCTGCTGCTGGGCCTCTCCCTTCCCCTGCTGCTGCAGACAGTGCAGGGAGGCCTGAAAGCCCCTTACAGTGATTTTCACATCCAGGCTTCCCAGTGCAGAGGTGAAAACCCAGCCTTCAGAAATCCAGAAATCTACTGCTGAGCAATGGGCGTGTTTGTGATGCAGCAGGGTGGTATGGGCAGGAACCAGGGAATAAGTTCAGCTGTGAAACTCTAACCCATCCCACAGCTCAGTATGTAAATTGACAGTTCATTGCTGGCTGAAGGAGGAATTTTAATTAAAATACCAAATCTACATTCAAAACTTGTTTGACTAGAGTAATTTTCTGGGCAAGGTAACAATATATTTATTAAAATCTTGGCTTTAAACCAATCCAAAGAGGCAGAATCAGCAAGTACTCATACAATTTCTGTTGTAACTAGCTTTTGAAACATTCTCCCCCACATGCCCCTTCTTTTCCTAGAATGATCCCAAGGTTTTGGAACAGCCAGTAGTGGTGCAAAGCATTGGCACAGATGGACAGCTCTTCCAGTTCATGGTGTTCCAGTTAAATACAACAGACCTTGTCTCTAATGATGGCATAAAAAATCTGGTCTGGATTGACTCTGATCAGAACCTGTATGAGAGAGCCCAGTGTGTCCCAGAAGTCAAGAAGAGAGTTGTTACGGTAAGGAAAACTTGGGAAATGGTGGTGGAAATGCTGCCCTTTCACCACAGCTGGGGTCTGGGAGCTGGCACAGAGCTGCAGCTGGTTTTAAACTAGCTGGGGGGACCTGAAGGGGACATTGGCCTCATTTTCACCTAAGCAGGTGTTTCTGAGGAAACATTTCCTGGGTATTTGTAGTGCTGATGTGTGACATGCCAAGCTCAACGTGAACTCCTGCATACAGATACCCCCAGCTGAAATCCACCATCTCATAGTGTGCTTGTTCAAAGCCAGCTCTGAGGAAGGGAGCTCTCACAAGAGACCATCAGCCTCTCTGGGGAGTAAATAGAGCACAGAGCTGCCAGTACTGGTTATGCTGGGAGGGCATCTCACTCACAGGCAAAGGGGTTCTGCCCTCTGAGATTGACACCAGTGGAAGTACCCCCACCCAAACCCTTCTGGGGAGGGAGAGCACAATTTGGAAGCTGCCATGCCTGAGAGTCTTATTCAAGCATGTTTAAAGCCGTTGTTTGTCTACATTAATCACTTCACTGCAAACTGAGCATCCGTGTCTTTTTCTCTGCAGAAGCCCGCTGGAATTTCTGGCTTTCAGCCAGACACATTCAAGAAGTTTCTGGCACTGTATCTGCATGGAACTGTGTGAAATTCAGCTCAAATGAAAATACTTCACCAACTGTACCTGCTGCTTCTCTTTGCCAGAACCGTCGTATAATTAAAGAAAGGTGGATTAATTTACTTTAAAAAATAAATTATATTGTTACTGAAAGTAAAAAAATTTTTTTTTTTTAACTAAATAGTACATGAAGAAACTCTTTCATTTTAGGGGCTCACCTCTGGATTTGGGTTAGAGGAGTTGTCAGATGCATCCTCCTGCACTCTTCCTCCATTGCCTGGGAAGAACATAAGCCAGTCATTATTCCTCTGCGCAGGCTCTGCTCTCAGTGTGCTTCTGCACAGAGCCAGACTCAAACCTATTCCCGAGGTTGCTTTGAGTCCCTCTGAATGCAGAAGAGACTTACAAAGCTTCAAGGGGAAAGCCTGAGCCACGAGGCTTTTTCATTCTGCCTGGCTTTGACTTTGTTTTACTCCTGGCTGCCGTGGGATGCGTCGTGCTGCCCTGTGCTTAGTTCCCAAAGCACTTAATCGGAGGGATTGCTTTGTTGGATCTGTAGAACCACAGTCCTTTTATCCCCCAATCCTGGATGAAGAGACCTGTGCATTTGGGGAAAGTGATGTAGAATGTAGCGGGAAACTTTGGTGCCTGTAGCTGGTATTTGCTGCTAAAAATACAAAGGAAGAATTTCTTCCTGCCACACAGAGTTAACTGAGCAGGAAGCATATTCTTTTTAACATGGGGGGATTAGTGTGGGTTTTGTAAAATGAAAGCTAAATTAGCTGCAGCCAAATGTAGAATGTTTTGCAGTTCTGGTACCCTCCAGCACATGGGAAGGGAGAGGACAGCCTGCGCTATTTTAAGGTGTGGAAGAGCACATTTCCAAGAAATTCATCTCACTTCGGTGTCTTGTGTCAGAGGCTGGTCTGTGCTTTGTGATCCCTGGCCATCTGGATGAACACCCCAGTTGTGTGTTCCAGCCCCAGTCCGTCAGGCAGCTCCACTCTGCAGGGCTCGGGAACGTTCACCGGTCCCATTTGAGATCAACAATTGCACCCCGTCAATTGGGATGCAGTGGCTGCAGGCTAAATTAACAAATCCCTTCATAGTTAGCAGAAGTGCTTGAAAGAGAAAAAACTCATAAGCATTGCACTGCTCTGCATCATCTTAATCCTGCCTGCTCGAGGGATGCCTAATTCAGCTCATCGGAGTAAATCTGTTCAGGTCTGTGATTTGCAGCCAGGTGTTTGGGAATACATTTCAACAGGGCTGTGCTCTGTGGAGCCTGTCACACGCAGTGGGTGTTTCTTTCTCGGGCTGCTGCCTCCCTGCTGTGTCACACGGACCCTGCCTGACATCCCCTCGCTCTTCCAGCTTCGGGTCATTACCCGTCCTAGGGAGGAAGTCCTGTAGGGCAGCCAGCTGCCCGTTAGCATTCCTGAGGAGAGAATTTCCCTGAGGAAGCCTGGTGGAAGAGCAGCTGTGCTGGAGAGGGGTTGTGTAGAGGTGAAACACCTCGTGTGCTTCTCGTAGATGTGGGAATTTGTGGGGATGGTCTGTCTGGAAGAGGCAGAGTCCCTTCAGCTGCTTTTACCTCTCAACAAAGACATCTCTGTCAGGGCAGGCAGTTGAAGGGGAGAGGCTGAGAGAAGCTGGAGCCCTGCTGTGCTCAAGCTGAGCTGAGACAAAGCACAAGCACAGGGAGGGATGGACGAAGGCAGAGCAAAGGCAGTTTTGAAAAACAGCGGAAGCAGGGAGATGTGGGATGGTCAGCAGGAAAACAACTTCAGGGGTTGTGTGAGGCATCGGGAAGCCACGACAGGTGAGGGGATCATACACAAGGGTGTGAGGCCATGTCCCTGCTTTGCTGGGGCACAGCCACGCTCACCTGAGGCCGGGGGGGAAGTGGTACTCGTGTGTTGCTGGAAGGAGCGGCTGATCCTTGTGCAGGGAATGCTCCTCTGAGAGCCTGGAGGGGAGCTCAAGGTGGGAATGAGTGGAGCTCCCAGCTTGGCGCCTGGCACAGGCTGGCCTGTCGTGGTCCTTGAACCAGGCAGCCCCCACCACCTGTCCTTGTGTCCTGCTGCACTTCCCAAGCTCCATGCGTGGCTCAGCTCTTCCAGTTCCTCCGGAGTGGCCTGCTGGAATCGGCCCAGCTGAGCGAGGTGGGGTGGGGAGCCCAGCAATGGGGCACAGAGGCACATCTGGGCTGGCATCAATAAGTTATAAAGGCTCGTCAGCAGACGAATGGCGTTACCTCAGCACGGACCAGGGCCAGGCATTAACTTTTCATGATCCGCAGCCAGGGAAGCAGAACATGCAAGAATGGGGTGGCAGGAGCGTGAGATGAGGAGGCAGAGGAGGCTGGCTGCCCTCAGGAGAGCTCTGCAGGACCCAGGGGAGCCTGGCTGCCCACAGGAGAGCTCTCCACCACTCCACACTCCCTTCCCCTGAACCGCTCCCACTGCAAAATCCAGCTCCACAGGCTGCACACATCATGCCAACAAGTACACACCGTGCTCAGCCTGGAGCCCCTGGTTGTTCTGATCCTCCTCCTGCATTTAATTTAATGAAAACTAATGGGGGAGACAATTATCCCTGAGGCTGGGCTCAGGAGACGTTTCGAGGAGGGAACTTGGCAGTTTCATGGCGATATTTAATAATACCAGCCTGTAACCCTTAAGAACCAACAGGAAGGACTTTTCTATGCCCCGCAATAAAAACACAACAGGCAGCAGGGCAGGAGCCTGCTGCTCTGGGCAGCTGAGCAGGGCCTGGGTAGGCAGGGATGGCCCCAGGGGTCTGGGAGGGCAGGACTTCTTCATCAGCCTCAACCCCTCAGGGGTCATGGAACCAAATGATGGACAGTGCTCACACTCTATTTTCTGCAAAGCACAGGGGGACGTGGTTGCCCGGACCAAAATCCACACTGGGGATGGCTGCACATGGACATCTGTGGGATTACCCTGGAAACAAACCTGCCCAGGCAGCAAAGCGTGCAAACACACCCTGCTCCTCTGCTGCTGGGCTGTGCGGGCACAGTGGTGATTCCCAAAGATTCCCAAACCCAGCAGCCACCCAGTGCATTGCCTCCTTGCCTTTCTCCAGGCGGATCCACAACCACAGGGTGCTCGCTGCTGGAATTCCAGCCCTGATGTGGCTGTGGGTGCCAGTGCCAGGGGGGAGCATTCCCAGGAGCAGCAGAGCTCCAGGATGGCCCCCCAAGCCCACAGCCCACGCCTGAACATTCCCACAAGGAAGGAGAGAGCTCACAGCCAGCCACGTCCTGCCCCAACTAGTCAAAGGTAGAGAACAAGTCTCACACAGCAGCTCCTGGGAGAGTTTCAGGCACCTGGCACTTGCAACCACCCATCCAAAGGCCTAAAATTTCCCAATCTTTCCCCCAGCCTCTGATGCTGCCCATTGGGGAACCAGGTTGGGTTTCTCCATCCCCAGGAGCTCCTGGAGCTGCTTGTTCCTGTGTGGGTGCACACACCCAGCCAGCACTGCAGCTCTTGCCCAAGAAGAGGGTCACAGACCCCACTGCAAGCTCAATATTTATATTTTTGAAAACAACACTCATGCATTCCCCTCCCTTTCTTACCTCCCAGCAGTGCAGGACTGGCAAAGGGAAGGAGCAGCACCCAGCTCCTGGCTCAGGGAGTCTCCATCACCACACTGGTACCCCAAATCCTCCTGCCTCTAACAAGCAAAGCCTGGGGAGCAGTGTACCAATATTCCATTTTTAGCCCCTAAAACATCCCTCTCTGCCTGCAGCCTGATGGGCTGGGTGTGGGAGGGCAAGTGTCCGGGCAGAACATCCTCAGCCCAGTGCAGGAAACACTGACCACTTTCTAGGCTAAATTTTCAAAATGCTTTTTTTTTAAAAAAAAAAAAACAATTCCAAGAAACAAACAGACATCACTAAACCTCACCCAGGTCCTGAACTGCATCCTGTATCCCTTTGGGATTTTGAATTCCCAGGATTTTGAATAGCCAGCCCCTTTAAAATGCCACCTCTGCTCGGCATCACCTCTGCTCCTGCACCCCAAATCTGGGGTTTGGCCCTTGATGAAGGTTGGAAAAAAATCCCCAACTCCCACCCTGGGTCTGGCAGCAAACACCAGGAACAAACTGCAGAGCACCGAAATCAAATGTTTATGTTGATATTTATTACAGCAGGGGGAGGGGGGAGGAGGGGGAACCGTTTCATTCAAAAACCATCCCATACCAATGAAGACAATAATTTAGCTATTCATTTTAAAATACATTAAAACCGGTCCTTTCATTTTCCTCACATCAGAACAAAAAAAAAGGAAAAAAAAAAAAGGAAAAAAGCCCCCCACACCTGAACAAGATGTAAAGTGGAAAAGGTAAAAATTTGACCCCTTGGGGAGCCCCTGGGTATGCAATGCAACAAATCTGCATTAATTGGAAAATATTAACCTGACTGTAACTATGAGACTGACACCCTCAGACCCCCCCATCCCACCCGCCCCTCCCTCCCTCCTGACTTTCTACAGGTAAAGCAGAATGAAAATGCCTAGGAAAAAGAAGGCAAACATTAAAAAAAAATATTATTCGTATTACACACTAAAAAAAAAAAGTTGTTTTGTCATCTCATGTCTTGCAGTCAGAATAATAAAAACAAGCCAAATGTCCCCCAAAAACATTTCAATGAAGGGGTGCGGAAAAAAGACATCCCTTTAATAAAACATTATCAACAAATATCGTACACAAACTACAATGTATAATAATTATTTTTTTTTTTCCCCTCTCGGTAATTTTCGAACCAGACTACAAGGTAAGAAAAAACACTGAAACAAGATACAATGCTTTCAATAATCCGCACAAAGGTCAAATCCAAGGGAGAGAATATTTTACAGAATATGATATACATGGAGCAGAAATGGGAGCTGGAGAAAAACCAAGACCAAACTACAGGGTAGTGTCATGTACAGAGATCCCAACCCGCCGCCTTGGCTCGTCCCTTCCTCTCCCACCAGAAGGAAGGGCCTTCGATGCTTGCCATTAATTTTTATTTTCTTATTACAGAGCGAGCCTACAGAATAGCAAGGTTACATTTTAACAACAAGAATTCCTTAAAAAATATCTCCATCCAGTTCCAAATCATAGATAAGTGAAATCCTGACAAGAGCACATCTCTAAAGAAAAGAAACCCCCCTGCAAATACCCCCAAAGCAAATAAAACCCCCAGAAAAATCCCAAAGTTAGCTGGAGATCACAGTTTCAAAGTCCCAGGTCAGATTAACCCTTTTTTTTTTTTTTTTTTTTTGGGTGGATTTAAAAAAAAAATTATTTAAAAAAATCTATTTTTGCAGTGAACCAGCTGAAGGATTCTGGGGAAGGGAGGGACAAGAGATTTCTTCTTGTACTCAGAGGAGGGGGAAAGACTAACACAGTGCATGCCACAGTCACAGAGAGCAAGATCACGATTCATTGGAGGATGTGATCCTGGAAGGGGTCACCTGCGTTAACAAGTTTATAACGAGGTGGTGGAGTCTCTTCCCCAAAGCAGATCTTGTTAACTGGAGGAGGAAGCGTTGTGCTGCAAACGAACAAAAAAAAAAACAACCAAAAAACAAACCCCAAAAAATACACGGGAAAAAAACCCCAAAACCAAAAAAAAAAAAACCAGGAAAAAAAAAAAAGAAAAACAGGCCTTCTGAACGAAAACCACCATTGTAAACTGTCCAGTTTATTTAAAAAAATGACTACAACAGAGACAACATGATTTCATATCTAGACTAGCTTCCTGGTGTCGCACGGCACAAACATACAACAGGTTCGGTTTCTGTCTTTATTTAAAAGAACAAAGCAAAGAGATCGGAGTTGGGTGCTAGAGGCTTCCGTTTGTTTCCAAAAAGAAGTGTCATGTACATATATAAACCCTTCTGCACAAAGAAGGGTCTTGTCATGTCTTGAAATATTTTAAGTTTTGTCCTTCATGTTTTATGGAATAAAAAGTTCAGCCTTTTTATTGCATGAAACTAAACCTGGGGTTTTGGCCCCCGCCACGCGTGTCCCTGCCCATACACCTAGCTTCTTCTTCTTCTTCTTCTTGCATAATTCGTTGAGATCCTCCGAACGGCAGCTGACTCTCTTGATCCTGGAGAGGAGGAGGGGGAGGGAAATCACACACTCATCGTCATGCTGGGGGAATACTGCAAGAGAGACAGAGCCACGGTGAGAAACCAGGCGGGTCCGAGCCCCGGACATCGAAGAGAGGGATGCAAAAGGAGGCTGATGACAACTACACTGCAACCTAATTGGATCTAATAAACCAGGAAGAGAGGATATGCTGGAGACTCCCATTTAACAGGGCCTCATCTGCGCTGCAACTCGCTTTTCCGGGAAGAAAATCAGCAGAACAGTATGGGGCGAGATGCAATTTGAAACAAATAATTAACATGCACATGTGTAGATGCTGCTAATAGAGGGAGAGCAGGAGGGATGTCTGCAGCCACCCACGGAGCCTCCAACTGGCCAGGCCAGCGCAGGCACCACTCCTCTCCACCTGTGCACCCCATCCCACCACAGACCCCAAGCTCCCACCCACTGCCTTCTTTCCTCCTGCCCGCTTTCCTGTCCTGCAGCAGCACAACCCAAGTCCAAAAGGCACCCCCTGTGCCAAGCCCACCATCCCTGTGCTGGGACACCTTGGGGACCGTCCCCCCATCCCCAGGCAGGCACTCACTCACTCACATTGTCATTTTGGAAGGAATGGAGAAAGTTGCCTCCCAGCTCCCCGTCGTCTCTTGGAGTGCCCGGGGGATTGCTAATGCCACTTATGTTGTTTGGAGAATTCTGTGGGAGACGGGAGGGGAGGTGGTGAGCAGGTCCCCACAGCCCCCCGAAATGCCACAGGGACAGGACGATGCTGTGGGACGGGGCACAGCCCTGCCCAGCCCAGTCACATTCCCCGTGTCCCCATCCATCAGGGTCACAGCAGCCCAGTGCTGAGGGGAGAGCCCACACATCCACCCTGCAACCAACCCCACTTACTTTTGGAAGTCCATCTATGTCTCCTGACCCTGCAGAGAGGGGAGAGAAAGGAGAAGAGCCTTACTGGGCCTGCAGCCATGGATGGCCCTGTGGCTCCCACAGCCCCAGTGACTTCCACCCAAAGGCTCTGCTTTGAGCACTGCTGCCACCTGGGAGCTGACCCCAGGATGGGAACAGGCACTGGGATGCTCTGCCAGTGTCCCCAGGGAATGGAGGACCATCAAGGCTCACCTAATGATCCGTTCATGTGGTGGGGCTCCATCCCGCCCATGCCGCCCATGGGGCCGTCAGAGCCGGGGCCCATCGGGAACTGCGGAAGAAAAAGGTGACAAAACCAAAATCAGCCACAAAACAACCCCAAGCAGCTGCCACGGTGGCTCCTGAGGACTGTCCCTGCCCCAGCCATCCCTCTGGAGCAGGGCAAGGAGGGAGGTATTGCAGAATCACTGAATTGTTGAGGCTGAAAAAGTCCTTTGAGATCAACAAGTCCAACAGTCAACTCACCATCCTCACTAAACCACCCCCTGAAGTGCCAGAGCCACACATTCCTTGGACACTTCCAGGGATGGTGACTCCACCACTGCCCTGGGCAGCACATTCCAATGCTTGGAAACCCCTTCGATGACAAAAAAGTTTCTGAATATCCAATCTGAACATTCCCTGGCACAACCTGGGGCTGTATCACCCCCAAGGCTGTGGGGCTCATGGTCCTCTGGGTTCATCTATAAAATTTGGCTGGATGGCAACCCAGAGCTGCAGCACAGCATTCCAACGAGCATTCCACAGGATTTAAGGTTGCCCATATCCCACAAAACCCAGCACCTTGGCCGGAGCAGCAGGACTGCTGCTCTCTTAATAAGCATAAAAAATTAACAAAGTCGCCCAAGAGTTAATCGCTTTTTGATGGTTTGTTTTATTTCTGTTTTGTAACAAATGGCTGAAATCAATTAAACTGCTTTACTCTCAACTGATGAAGTTAATTATGATTTGTTATGGTATCTGATATGTAAATTATTAGAAAGCAGACTTACATTCGATCGACTGCCTGCAGGCGGTACTGGATTAATCATTGTGTAGATGTTGTCACTTGAATTTGTTGAATCTGTGGAACAGTGAAGCCCAGTAAGTTGGGTGATTAATTCATTTCTTAATTAAAACAAACTCATGCCACTTGAACTCATTCTTTTGTATTTTATCACCCAAAATTCCCTCTAACTACCACCATTTTCTGGTTAATTTGTATTTAATGAAGATCCACAAAGTTTTTAATCACAGAATTTCAACTGTGAAAAAAAATTCAACTCCTCGCTGGGAAGGGTGGGGAGGTAATTCCTCACCTTCCTGAGCCCCACAGCATCCAAATCCACAGGGGGATGGAGGAACATCCCCAAATGCAATCCCGAAGTCAAGAAGCCCATGCTACTCACTTCCCAGAAAGCCAAAAGCCACAAAAATTGGTCATTACCAACAGGGCAGGGATGGCCCTGGAGAGAGAGGGGTCTCAGAGGGCTCGTACCTGCAGGACTGGGCATGATGGGTGTCCCTGGAGGGCCACCGCCGCCGGGCGGACCCTGCGGAAACAACGCCGGTGTCAGACGTGCAAACACGAGCACTGCCCACCTCTCCATGTTCTCAAACACCTCCCAAACCCCCAACCCCAGCCCAGTGCCACCTCCCATGGCACTGACTCGCCCCAAACCACAGGAACTCCTGACAAAAGCACAGACAGCAGGGCAGGACTCACCACGTATGTACCAGGCGATGAAGAAGAGTATGGGATCTGCAGGGACAAGAGAGACAGGCTCAGCCATGGGCTGGATCCCAGCAGGGCACAGCTAAAACCCCCTGTTGCCCCTTCAGCCTGGCCAGGATGGGAGTCCCAGCAGCCTAAGGAAGAGGCTGGGGAACCCCCTCTCATTAGCAGGGCTCAGCTCTTGGGGAATGATCCCATTTGCAGGACCCTTCCCAACCAAGCCAAGGTACTCACTGAGTTAGCACTGCTGGGGTTCGGCCACGGTCTGCCAGCACCCGGCCCCCTGGGGACAAAATTAAACAGGGGGAAAAAATAAATGTTGTGTTTTTCTGCAGATGAGCCAGTGGTGAAACCTCCCAGTGTGGGGATTGCCTTACATGTTAATTCCAGGCATGCCAGGACCTAGGGAGTTGGGTGGAGGTCTCATGCCGCTGCCGTAGTTCTGCAACGATAACCAAGGGTCAGTCTAGCGTAACGGGCAGGGACACCAGAGAGGCAAGAGAAAGGGGGGAAAAGAGCCAATAAACAAACAAAAAACAAGTGGGTCTGTGTGCAAAAATGAGCTTAAAAAAAAAAAATTAATGGCAACAAACATAAGAGGCAATTGTGTTTATAAAAAAAACCCCAGGCAGCTGAATATGGATGGGAGCCAGACTGAGCCCCAAAGTTCCCCCTCCCTGCTCTCTGTGGAGGTAAAACATCCCCTTCCCAGCTCCACAATTCTGTTCACAGCCCCCAGCGCCAGCAACAGCCTTCTGGATTTTTCCCTTTGTGCAGGAGAAAACAGGGGCAGCAGGAGGAGAAAAGGCACCACTTGGAAGGTTCCTGCTGTAGTGTAAGGATGAGGAAAGGCTGCATGAGTGCTCCCCCCGAGATGGAGCACTCCTTGCTCCCTGGATGACTGCTGGAGCAGGGAACACCAAGCCAGGCTTGTTTTTCTGCTGCTCCCCAGCTCTGTGCTCCATCCCCCGGAGCGGATCTGCAGCCGCGGGGAGCGGGCGAGGGCAGGCAGCCCCCTGGGCCCCCTCTCCTGCCTTCTTCCTCCCTGGCTTAGCCTCCAGCTGGGACTGGGAGCCTCAGATCTGCATCCCTCATCTCCTAAAACCAGCTCTAGTACAAAGCCAAGCCCAAGGCAGTGGAGGAAGAGGAATCCCCCGAATGCTGCGCTCCATTTGGTCTGTGCTTTGCTCCGCGTGCCCCCCAGGCGACGTGCAGCCCGATTTAGGTCGCCTCGACACTCTTCCCCTCCCACCTCCCTCTCTTCTGTAATGCATCTTTTTGGACTGTCTGCCATTTAAAGAAAAAAACTGCTACAGCAGGAGGAGGGATGGCTGGCCACTTCCTACACCACAGCCCCTTGGAGTGCTCCAAAATGGATTTTAAGTACAACACTTTAGTGTTGCCAATTTTTACCTGGATTTACGGATGCACCAGTGCATGGTGCACTGCTGAGGGCATCACCAAAGTTTGTTTTGAAGAGGCAGAAAAGGGTTTTCCCCAAACAAATTACCATCAAGTCCTTAATTGATAGAAATTTCAGCCATTTACACTGAATAGCAGCATCAAGCCCCTTGTTAAAAAAAAAAAAAAAAAGAAAAAAAAAAAAAAAAAAAAAAAAAGGCTCAGCGTTTTTAATTGGAGCTGAAAGGCTGGAAAATGAAGCCAGCTGAAAGATGCTCAGGGAGGGTGAGGAGGGAACACAGCTGTGCTGAGCGACCTGGGCAAGGCACCACCAAAACCCAGAGAGCTACAAACCCTCTTCAGCTACAAACCCTCTTCATATTGGTGCTGGCAAACCCTATCCTGGCTGCTGCAGAGCTACAAATGGGACTCTTAAAGGGAAAAAGGCAGCGGCAATCAGCTGAAAGGGATGATTCATCACTGCTGTGCAATAAGGAGCTGCTGTCAGGACTCCAGGATGTCCTGGCTGGATGTTCTGAAGCCCTCTGGAATCGTTTGAGAAGTATTCAGGAAGGTCCCAACGCAAAGCTTAAAGGAAAACAAGCCCAGGGCACACAAGGTGTGAGGGGCTGCAGGGTCTGGGTGGGTATTTTTGGTGGCTGCCTGCGCAGGCGCCGATTCCTGGATGGCTGCAGGGAGGCAGCGCCTGCGGGTGCCAGATTGGGAAGCCCAGCGCTCCTCCAGGGAAAGGCTGCCTCTTAAAAAACCTCTCCCTAATGTACATACACAGGGAACGGCGGAGTCAAAAATAAAGCTCTGAACATTTCACAACTCCTGCCGGCTCCCAGAGCCGCCGCCATCCCACGCGGCGCTCAGCGCGCGCTCGCCGCTTCCAAGTTTCGCGGCGAGCTCTGGAAGTGGGAAGCAGCCTCCCCCCGGCAAGCCGCCGCCGCTCGCCTTGGCGCAGGCCACGCTTGCAAATGCCTTTGTTTTTTTTTCTTCTTTTTGGGTGTAATCCTCCAGGAAAGGAGGATTTCAAGCACAGCAGCAGCGCTATGGGAGGGTTTGCCTGTGAAACGATTCCCGCGCAGGTTTTTTGTCCCCTGCCCTAGGATGGATCCGGGTGTCCGTGGACGTGGCTGAGCAGCCCCGAGCATCATCCTCAGGTTGGTGCTAAAGACATGACACAACTCCCTCTTTGCACAACATTCACTTATCTCAACAGTCTCCAGGGGAAAAACAAAACACAACTCCAGCGCACCCGCTCATCTCCTGACAGACTCTGATCCTCGCGCTACAAACTCCACGTAGGCGACGATGCAGAGAGGATAAACCTCCAACCAAAATATGGTAATCTGGTTTTGAAGTCTCGTACAAGGAACAAACAGGAGTGAGTCAACAACAAGCCACTCCATAAAGTGAATCAACGAAATGACAGCATATATTAACCCAGATCTGCTTAATTTCAAGTTTACTCCCCTTTCCTGAAATAGAGAGCTCAGGCAGGCAGCAGGAAGGGCAGGTGGAGGGGAACCTCGCAGGGGAAAGCCTTATTCCCTTTGCTAAAGGGATCTTTGCCATTTCTTTTTATTTATTAATTTCAAATTGCAAACCTCCCTCCCCTTTCCTGCAGTTAGGGCTGTAACTGTTTCCCAGGCAGGCAGTGTAATGCACTCAGAGGCTGCTCCGGCGCGCAGCTAAGTGCCATCCCCTCTGACAGAAGGGCAGGAGGGAGGCTCTAATACCCTTAATGAGCTCTGAAGACCTCACTCCTGTTAAAAGGAGGGATTTCCAGATGCAAGACTAATGTAAAACACATTAACACTAATGGGGGGGACAGGGCGTGGGGGGGAACTCCCGAGCCCCAGGAGGTTGTTCCCATGGTCTGTAGGATGCGCTCTGGCACCGGGCTTACCTGCGGACCGGGACCCATGGGGCCCATCCCTCGCGGAGGATTCATCCTCTGCATGGGGCCGCCCATGTTGGGGTGCCCTGTTGGGAGGAAAGCAGGGGTGTTACAGGGCACCACAGCCACTCTGGCTCCCCGATTAACAGCTAATTAAGAACGTCAGCGCCTGACCCTCCTCTGCTGGGCTTACCTTGCTGTCGCGTGGGATCCATGGAATTGGGCAGCAATGGCTGTGTACCGGGAACAGCACCCGGGGGCTGTGAAAGCAAGGGAGCAAGATGAAAAAAACAAATCCTGCATCCCCCTGCATCCCACACCCCACTGCTACAGCCTCCAGGCCTTTGCCTCCCTCATCCTTCTGCAAACTCTCTCTAAACCCCAAACAAGGCGTTTCCCCCTCCCCTCATGCCAAATGCCGCTGTATTTTAGGAAAGCAGGGGAAAACCCGGGCTGAGCGGGGCTGTCAAATCCAGCAGGGAAAGGTGACACACAGCACCAGGGCCAAACCAGGCAGTGATTCACTGGCTGTGGCAGGGAGATGCTCCATGTGCAGCAGAGCAAGGCCCCCTCCCCAAACTCACATTCCATTCAGGCAATGCTGCTATTTAAGCTTCAAAGGTTACTCCGAACAGATAAAGGGGAAGAAAAATGCAGATACTGTCTGCCTGAGGGAAGCAAACTGTAAACAGCTTTGCTATGCTGGATGCTAACACTGAGGATCCCCGTGTTGGAGCACAGCACAGGTCCTGGGTGCACATGGCTGTGCCGAGGCAGAATCAGCCCAATCCCAAGTTTTTTGCAGGCTGGAAGCTGGCAGCAGGAGGAAGATAAACCAGGGGGGTTGCAGAGGTGGGTATTTACACTTCTGCTGCCTGACCTTCCTGCCTGCCTATTTATTCCTCTTGTCCCTCAGGATGTGACCATAACCTCGCTGAGCTCTGCCTAGGTACAAACATGTGTTTTTTATGTAGTGTTTGGGGGAAAAAAAAGAAATCCTTCCAATTAACTTTACCCACTCCTGGACGCTTGATCCTGCTGTGGGAACAGCCTCCTCAAACCAGTCCCCCCTGCCTCTCCTGCCTGCCCAGCTCACTGTGCTCACCTGCAGCAGAGCTTGGGATGAGCCAAGAACCACTGCAGGATGGGGTCCTGTTAAAACCGACCCATGAGGAGGTGCAGTGAATTAATACCTCGTTAGATCATCCATCAGTGCCCTGGGTGGAGGGCTCTTCCAGCCATGGAGGTCCTCCATTAGCCCCTTCTGGGTTTTCCTCAGCTACATCTCAGCATCAGTTAGCAAAGACTCAAGTCTCAAATCCAGCAAGCACAAACCCAGAGCAAGCTGGTCCATCCTGCTTCCTGACTATCCTGCTCTTTCTACTAATTAGACCTACAGAAGAATCATGCTGATAGCCAAAAAAAACAAGCTCCCAAGATAATTTTTGAACAGACACCACTGCTTCTCAAAGGAATTACAGGTTTGCTTTAATTTCCCTTTAGTGACGAATTTGGTCATTACCCTATGGATCTGCATGGCATCATTGGCAAGGAGATGAATTCCTTAATCAAAGGCCACGCATGTGCCCAGGCAGGGCGTGGGGTGGAAGCCTCTGCAAGGCCAGAAACAAACTGCCCTTGTATAAGCTGGGATAAGAGGATAAACCCAACCCAAAAAATTCAGCAGTGACCCACCCCGCTTGACCCCGCCGCTGATCTAAACACTCGGTCAACCCAGCAGCAGGATTATCTCCATCACTTTAATTTTCTGCGATTGCAGGGAAAATCCAGGCGGGCAGCGAGCACGCAGCATGGCACGGCCCTGCTGGGAACACCAGTGCTGGAAAGCAGCACATTCCCCACTGCTGTTTCCACCCTGGATAGGCCCAAACCCCACAATAAAATTAAACCATCATCGTTCAGTGACACCTGATTACCAGCACTAGGAAAAAACAAGGGTGACTAAGGAGGTGATGCTTGCCACCCAAACCCAAGGAGCATCTGCAGGACACTTGGCCCTCATCCCCCTTCCCAAATAACAGCTATCCCTAGGAAGTGCAGAATCCCGGGAGCGCAGTACCTGGTTGCCCATCCTGATGGGGGGCCGGGGACCTCCGGCGTAGCGTGGCGACATGAACGGCTGCGGGGACACAAAAGGGGGTCAGGGCTGAGCCTGGGGAGGCAGCACACTCCCCACGCACGCTGGTTAGCCTGTACACACTGCTTTTGGTATTTTTGGCATGTTTTTTTTTTTTTTTTCTTTTTTTTTTTCTGGAGACATCCTTTTAAAAAAAGTGACGTTTCAAAAGGGAAAAAAAAAAAAAAGGTGTCTGGAGTCTGTTTTTTAGACATTTTCTCTGTAGGTTTATTGTTTGAGAGCGTGTTTGACATTGGCAGTACTAGGTGAGGCTGTTAAAATTAGTGCATGGGAAATCCTGAGTGTTAGATAATGTTCAAGTTTAAATATATAGAGATATATTAAAAAAAAAGTGGCAAATAAGCACATACAGACACGCACACACAAAAAACCCCAGTGCTAAGTACTGAAAAAAAAAAAAAAAAAAGAAGAAAGGCTTAATGTTACCTCTTTTTACAACTGCTGCTACTAACAGAAGCTTAAAAATCCACATCAAGTTAAATTTCTCAGGCTACCTTGGGAAGGTAAAACACTCTGATACCCACAACTGACTTCTCAGTCCATTGACAACTGCATATCCAAAAAACACCAAAAAAAAAAAAAAAAAAAGAAAAAAAAAAAGGAAAAAACCAACATTTTTCTTCGGAGCTGGGGTGCCCGGGGGGATGCTCCCCGGGGAGCGGGTACCCGCTGCCCAGCATGCTTACAGAGGGGGAAAAAAGAAGTAAATCGAGCGCACGTCCCGGTTCACAGCCCTACCCATCACTAGTGTCTTTACCTGACTGTGGGGTCCCATCATGCTGTTAGGATTGTGGGGTGGAGGCTGTGCGTGTGGCGAGGGCTGTGACCCAGGCGGTCCCTGTGAGGTCAGACAGTAGAAGGAGGTTATAGATTAGCACATGAAAGCGCAGAAAGAGCTAAAAAAAGGATTCACGGGTGGACCTGTTCAGTCAGGGAGTCAGTTCTCCCGGTTTTAAATAAATTTATTTTTCTTTTTTTTTTTTTTTTAATTGAGTTTCTATTCATTTGCAGCAGAACAATGAGTAATGATATATGTGAAAAAAATATATTCAAAATCAGAACATCTGTCAAAATACAGTGGCCACATTGAGAGTAAATGGTCCAGTGGTTCAACCAAGTCTGCAATGATAAACACACAGGGAAACACTTTTCAGGGGCGTGCAATGAGGGGAAAAAAATATGCAGGAGAGGACCAGAGAGGCTGGGGGGAAATAGAAAAACTACCCCCAAACAAAAAAAAAAAAAAAAAAAAATCAAAAACCCAAAAACCAAAACCAACCAAAAATTAGAAAAAAAAAATCTAAAAAAATTTTTAAAAAATAATAATCTTTTTTTTTTTCCTCTCTCATCCCAAAGGCTGGAAACACCTCTGGGTTTGTGTTTTGACCGTGGTTACTGGAGGTGCTGTGGAGGATGAGGAGCACGTCCCAGCTCACGCCTGGGCAGCGTTTGGCCGGCACAGCCGGGGCTGCACCACCACGCTGAAGGGATGCAACATCCTTCCTCGAGGTGCATTCCCTAAGGATGCGAGCAAAATGGCTTGCGAGCAAAGAAAGGATGTCTAGGGGAAAAAAGGAGAGATTAGTTGGTGCAGGTTTAAGACTGCAATGCAGCAGTCGCTGACATTTTGGGCTTGAACGCCCACTTTTAAATTTTTTTTCTTTTTTTTTTTTTTTAAATTTCCCTTAAAAACACGAAATGAAAATTTGCTTGGAAAAACCGCGAGCTCGGTGCAAGAAATAAGAAATATACCGGTGCGTGTTAACGTGAGGAAAAGGGGAAAAAAAGAAAAAAAAAAAAAAAAAGAAAAAAGGTATTTTTTTGAGTCAAAGGAGGTGTAATTGGTAGAGAAAGCACAGGAGCTCTGTCAGTAGGTGATGGGAAGCGACGGCAGGCTCCAGCACCGGCGCCGGAGCAGATGTTCTCTACCTGCCTCGTTACTAATTTCAACAAGTGTTCGCCTTCTAGCTGCTGCCAGCAATGGCATGGTTTGTTACCATGAGCAATTTTCTTAATTAACAGACATTAATTAGCCATTTAGCAATTTTGCAAGCATTTGTTTAGCAGCTTTCCTAAACATGAATACCACTGTGATAATGGTACTGATTAGAGGGTCCCCTAATTAACAGTACAGGGAAGGAAAATTGAAATCACATAAATTAAAAAGGGAGGGGAAGTTAATGAAGGCAGGACATATTTGCACCTGCAAATCTTTTGTACAGCGGAAACTTGAGTGCAATGTAAATAAAGTAAGAGGGTGGGTTTTTTCTTCTTCTTCTTTTTTTTTTTTTTTTTTAAATTTTTTTTTTTATTTGAATGGTTCAGTGGTGAGATGGAGCCAAGCAGATTTAAACCAACAGCCTCCTGCCAGCTTCTCTGCTCCAGCCGCAGAAATCCCACCACTTACACCACCATTTATTTTCCAGGTGCCAAAGGGAACCAGCCCCTGCCCTTAGTTCCTGGCCAACCTCATCTGGATGAGGTCACAGCACCTCAAGACAACCCTCCCCACTGCCTTCTCCATCCATGTCCCACCAGAGGGGAGAAGACAAACCTCTGAGGTCCAACTGCAGCATCAACCTCCTTTAGCAGAAGTCCTCTCCAGGCATGGAAGTTGACTTATTTTTCCTTCTGAGTTGCTAACTGTCTGTGAATGCAAAGTGCAGCAGGGGCAGCAGACACCTCCCACCATCCCCCAGTAAGGTCTGGCCACCCCCAAAGCCCTTCCTACACATCTCAGCTGCAGGATTTGGGGTAGGGAAGATCAGAAGAGGTGAATGAGTGATGAAACCAAACGGAAGGTAAAAACCAGGGCTGGCAGAGGCCAAACCTCAAGCCCCATCAATGCAAGAGCCAGTGTCCTCCACAATGCCTGCCTTGTGCTGCAGGAGGGGTCACTGCTGTCCAGGTACTGATGTCCTTCCCCTTGTATCCTGCAGCAGGTGAGGGTGTGGGGTGAACAGGTACCAAACACACAGGGGACACAGCCACCTGAAGGCACCCTAGCTGGGCCTGAAGGTGATGCTTGGGGTCTGCAATTCGAGCTGGAGAGCAAACACTGTTTGACTACTGGAGAAAAAGCATCTATGAGACACAGCAGCATTTCCACCGGAGAAAAATCCCCTGTGGCAGCTGGACCCAGAGAGCATCCGTTGTTTGTGCTGCTGAGTGCATCCTCTGGAGCGAGCTCCTGCCCCGACACCAAGGCTGCTCCCGGGATGCTCCAGGCTCGGCGCCGCAGCATCCCTGCCCTCGCATTATCCCATGTGGTACCGCTCCCAGAGGACACTTCTGGATAAGGTGATGCCTGGCTTGTGCAAATGTTTTGGCAGGCAGGGAAGAGCTGAAAGCAGCATTTTTTATTTTTCCTTCTTTTCTTGCTTTTTCTGTGCAGAGCATCCCAAATGTTCGCTCCAAGCCAGGGCTGCCCTGCTCTGTCAGAAACGCAGTCCCTCTGGATACTGTTATCTCCATAAATACTTGCAGATGTTTCAGGGCTGGGACCCGTGTTGGGCCGGGAACGCCTGCTGGAGTGGTTGGATTTTTGCACGGGATTGCCTCGCTGCAGAGGGAGCAGCAGATGATCCCCATGGATCGAGGCAGTTGAGACAAGTGTTTTGCAGAGACGACATGTGGGCTCCAACCAACAGAACATCCCTTTTTTCTTAAAAAACCGTGTGTTTAGCAGTTATTAACTACTCCTGTTAAAGGAGGAGGTTGAACACATGCTGTCCTGCTTCCTCCACGTCCCTCCATCCAGCCCTGGAGTCGCATCCCTGCGGCACAGCTCCTTCTGACACGCCATGCTGGGTGAGCAGGACCTGCTCTGCAGTTGCTTCGCTCTCATCTCCACACCAGCACTCTCCCCAGCCACAGAAACCCCATCATCTCTTGAGTTTCTCCTTTTTCCCCCCAAACTGGACACTCTTTGTGAGGGGTTATTCTTCATTTTCCTGTAGCTGCCTCAAAAAACCCCAAAAAAGAACCCAAACAGCTAAAATGGTCTTAGAGGAAACTGTTTCCAACAGCTGTCAGCGCCCCAGCCTCCACTCTGCTTCATTTCTTTCTCCCCTCTGCACTCCAGGGACTTTAAAAGGCCAACCTGGCCCGCCGGACAGCCAAAGTTTGCTGCCACAGCTGCTTCCTACAGGGAGTTTCCAGGAGATCAGGTTATTTCCACTCTGTCTTTCATGAGCTCGACTCCTCAAACTTCTTGTAAAATATTAAAGATGGAAAATGGCACGAGCGATCATAGCTCTGTGTGTGTCAATTTATGTTTCCAGCGTAATTCACCACAAATGGATCATGTTTTATGGGCTACATACTTTCAGCTAATGGGGGAGTTTTGCTATTTAAAAACATTTTCAAGCACCTCTGGGGGTGGCAGAACAAGGCAGGATGGTAGGAGAAGGCAAAGCATCACTGCCACGAGACACTGATGGTTTCGAGTTAGCAATAGGGAGGCACCTTGTGTTTAAAATACCTGCCCCTGCCTGCCAGTTTTGACGTTAGAAAATACTAAAATAAATTAGATGGATATTAATTAAAGCCATGCCTGGGTTTATTGGAGAGGAGATTTATTTCTACTGAAGGAGAGAGATGTTTTGCAAGTTGACAAGGAAAAAGAAGAGCTATCTCTGAAGGAGCCTTTAGGAGAGATGCTCCAGGTGCCTTCAAAGAGAAAGACCCTGGTTGAGTTCCAGCATGTGCTGCTGGGTGAGGACCTTCCCGAGACGGGGCAGGAGAGGTTAGACAAGGCAAGGCAAGGCAAAGCAAGGCAAGGCAAAGCAAGGCGAGGTTAGGCAAGGCAAGGCAAGGCAGCAAGGCGAGGCGAGGCGAGGCGAGGCGGGCCGAGCTCCCCCCGCAGACAGCCAAAGGCAGTCGTGGGCAGGAGCTCTGCCTCGCCTGCAGCTGGGGCTCCCAACTGCAGAAGCCTGGTTTTAAGGAATATGTTTAACACAAGCTCTTCAGGAAACAAACCCGTGTCAGCCAGAGCCAAGAACAGTCACCTCCATCTGGCTGGAGCACCCGAGAGAAAGTTGACTGCAAATCCCACCATATGCTCCAGACGCTCGGTACAAAAGCCTCGGGCATCCTACTAAACTTCCAGAAAAAAACTTTCTCTGATGCTTGCTTTTCCTTTCCTCCAGCTTGTAGGCTACCTTCCTTCAAACCCCGCCTGGTGCAGGCTGGTACCAAGTTCTACCCCAGCATTTTGGGAAGAGCAGCCTGGTTTTGTGGCTCTCGTGCTGCCTCACCGGAATTGGCTGGCCGGAGCTGGTGGCACTCCCGAGCAGTGGGAAATCCCACTGAGACACCAGGACAGCAGGGGGAAAATGGTGGCGTCCAAGGAGGGAGCAGGACAACATGGGCCCCTTCCTATTGTCCCTGCCTTCACCATCCTCACCCCACGGGCGACCTCACCCCAAGGGGGAAATCTCCAGGACGCGGGGAGGAGAGGTGGGGAGGGCAGGGGATGTCGCAGGGGGAGCCCCCCGGGCTCTGGAGCCCCCGTCCTCCCCAGCTCTCGAGGTCTGCCTGCATTAGGGGGCAGTGTGGGAACACGGAGCAGCCGGTGCTTTGTTTTGGTGCATCTCGGCGCCGAGCCGCTGATGCATAGCTAACGCAGCGCCGACATTGATTTATGGTCAACTTTCCATTTCATCAGCGCGGGGTACGGGGCGGCGCGGGGACTCTGCGCTGGGGACAGCAGCCATGGCTGGGGGGGCTGCTGACTCGGCCTCCCCCCCCGTTTGTTTAGTGGTGTAAAGGTGTGGTATTAATTGCTTTCAATTTTTTTGTTTTCCTTCCTGTATTTCCCTGGCATCCCCCCATCCCTCCTGCGAGGGATCTGCACCCCGGCATCAATCCAGCTTTCAAAACAAAAGCAGGAACGCCTCTGATGACCTTTAGGAGGATGAGCAGAGGGTTTGTTTGCTCATCTCAATGGGACAAAGAGAGAGATTTAAATAAAAGCATCTACCCATGCTGGCCATCAACCCAGCCAACCTTTTGTCCAGAGAGCAGATGATGCCGTGCCACTGGCTGGCACCATGAAATGCCCCAGCAACCCAAGAGTGCCATGGGCCTCTCCTCTCCCATCATTTTGGGAGATTCTGCAGGCTGCACTTCCCTTGGCCCCTGACCTGAAGGGCACTGCTGAGCCCTGGCACTGGGAAGGGAATCTCACTGCAAGGCAGTGGCTGCGGATGGGTGCTGCAGCCTGGAGTCCTCCTTGCTTCTCCCTCTCCTGGAGCACTCCTTCTCCTCCAAGCTCACTCGTATCTGTTTGGGCTACGGAGTCCCAGGAATGGTCCATATAATTTTTTCCCTTTGCCTGTGGTGGACATCCTCACATGCAGGGCTGTGGGGGAGTTCATGCACCCCCAGGGTGGCATTGTGAAGTTTCTGCTACCTGAGCTTTGCTGGTGACTCATTCCTCAGCTCCCTGTGTGACTCCCCACCATGCCTGGACACGATCAGACTCTCTAAATCCACTCAAAAACTACCTGCCCATGCCTGATACCCTTGGGGATATCCCTTGCAGGTCTCTGGTGCAGAAGAGCAAGACGCTGAAAACCCCTAAGCCCTCTCCAGCGCTTTCCTGGCAGGAGGATGGCACTGGCTGAGGTGGCACCACCTCACTCACTTCCAGGGCTGGCATACCAAGGGTTGGGGAGAAGTCCTTTCTATCTTCTGTGACCTTTTTGTTTTTGCCCTCTGAATTTAGGCACTTTAATCTCCTACAGATAGGAAATTACCCCCAAGCTGTGACTGGCTCGGCACTGAGCCTCCAGCCCATCCTGCAAGAGCTGCTCTCCAGCATCTCCCGAAGCTGGAATGAGCCCCAGCACCCGCAATAAATCACACAGGCTTTCATGGAGGCGATGTTCAGACTGTGTTAAAAGGTGGGATTTCTTTTCTGCTTTCCATCCCGAGGGCTGGGAGGAGAAACCAGATGTTGGAGGGCTTTCAGGAAAGGCAGGCTCTTGAGATGTCACATGTGAGCCATATGCACCAGCACCCATCCTCTCTTCCCTCTGGCAGTGCTGGGGATGGGCAGCATAACCTGTCCTGGTGTTATTACACTGTCTGGGGTTTCAGGATCCACTCCTGCTTCTGAGCTACCCCCTACCCACGTGGCTGCTGGGCCAGCTGCATGGGTGGCAGGGAGCTAAGATGGGCTCTTTGCTCCTGAATCAGACCCTCAGTGCAAGAGTGCTACAGGAGGGCAGAAAGGAAAGAAAGGAGGACAGCTTGGAGGCTGTCAACGGGAAGAGTCGAGACGGCAGCATGAACAGTAAAAGTCTGGAGAGATGTGACTCCTCTTCCTCACCTTTCCCACTCTGGGAAAGCCAACCCATACTCTCGATGCCTCGCCCTGAATTCATGCCAGTTTTGCAGCCCTCGCAGCTCGGCGTGAAGCAGAAGCCCCAAAGGACAGTCAGCTTCACCGTGGGGCGAGATCAGGACGTTTTGGAGACACATTTGTTGGAAGCAGCAGCTTGGCACTCGGATTGCTGGCAGCAGCTATGACCTGCGAGATTGCATCTCCGCCGTTGGCTTCGCCCCCTGCCGCCGAGCGCTGCTACAAGGTTCGCCTGTTTTAGGGTTCCCGATCAATATCGGATATTCTTACTTTGTCAGAGGCATGTTCAGGAAATGGGATCTCTCCTTCTCTCTCTCAAAAAAAGACAGGACCCTCCTTCCCCCTTCCCACACAAATGCAATCGTCGATATTGGGCTCAGATATCACCACAATAAATCACAAGCTCCTTATCGAGCTCGCCTGTCTGCTGCTCGAGAAGTTCTCCCATATACAAATCACAAGCCCAGATTAAAAAAAGCCCAGTTTGCCAAAACAAATATTCCTTTCAACTCTTATCCCATTTTTTACACGAACAAGTGTTTCATCCTCAAGCGGGAGGATTTTAAAGCACTGAAAGCTTATGTTGCTGCAAACCAGTGCAGCTCACTCCGGGCAAAGAGATTCCTGAGGAAAAACCCTCAGGGTTCAAGGTTTGAAAACTCCTTTTCTTTGTGCTTGTTGATATCCTGTCTGTCAGCATCACTCCAAACATGTTACTCCCTCCTCTGTCAGAGCTTGTTGTGGGATAAGGAAGGAGCGAGGGGACTTTGGGGACTTTGCTGGGTATTTGCTTACAAGGTGCCTCCACGGCATTCAGGGATTTGGCTGGAGCCCACTCCTGCCTGCAGCCGCAGCCAGGGTTTGTTAATGCATTCAGTGATTGCATTTGGAAAAAATCAAGTGGTTAACCAGAGGAGGGGGAAAAAGTTTCAGGAATCAAAATCCAGAATGTTTTCAATTACACACGTCTGTTAGGACTGGAGAACAAATACAATCCCAACCCAAACACAAACCAAGCAGCTTTGGAAAAAAAACATTGGTTGTAAATACACAGTAACCTCTTCGAGCAAGAAAGGAATTTGCTTTAAGGCCACAAAAGATAGAAAGCAAACATGGAAGGACAGCAGAACACAAGTTATTCCTAGACAGGTCAGCTGTGCAGGCATGCTGCTTCCCTAGCACCCTCTTGGGGGAAAAAAAAAAAACAAAACCAAAACACAGGCACGACAGCGCTGACACCCAGAGCGGAAGCAAACACGTGCGCGGTGTGGAGGGAAGGGAGCCCCGGGAGGAGCCGCAGCCTACCTGGAAGAACCCGGGCGGGATGGGGCCCCCGGGCATCCCGTCATTCGGGGGAATGTTTCCAAGCACGGGACTCGGGGCAGCAGCTGCGCTCTGCGGGGAACAAAACCAGGGCAAACATGGTCAGAGTTATGACAAAAGCACGTTAAAAATGCCACCTCTCCTGCCACGTCCCGCTGAGTCAATCTGCCTTGTATCCCCGGAGCCCTGAGCATCTTCCCCTGTGCAGGAATTGGTGGAGGATGCTCGCAGTGGAGGGACACCGGCCTCTGAGACTCACCCACAGAGGAGATGGCCACACAGAACCTGGAGATGATTCTGAGGTTTGTTTATTCATTTACCCAGGCACTGAGTCTTGTTAATCCACCCAAGAGCCACATCTAACGTGTAATTTTAGGCAGAAGTTGTTTGAAAGCTTTAAAATGCTTCTCCTCCCACCTCCCCACCATGTTCGCTGGTTTAGCCCTATCCTTTGAAAATTATGCTTCCCTGACCTCACCAGCATGCCAAGGCTTTATTATGAATTTCCAAATTCATTTCATTCAACCTGTGGAGTCACATCCCCTTTGTGCCTCCCTAGAATGAGCCATGAGCACAGCTCCAGCCCCAAAAAGAGGGATGGGGACAGACATGGGGTACCTGAACACCCCACTCACTCCTGTCAGCATCCCTATTTGCATTATTCACTTCTGGGAAAGCACCAGCGTGATGGGAAGTTCCTGCTCTGAGAAGGACAATGTAAGAAAAAGATCTTTCTCTAAAAGCCACTGCTGGTGACACACCCCTGTGAGATTAGGAGCAGTACCTGTGCCATCCAAGGGCACCCCAGTTTGCCCAACACCAAGTGACCCCCATTCCAGTTACAGGGCAGTTATAAAGGCACCTCAGTGGTGTTAACTGGATTTGGATCGCTGAACTACTCCCTCCACCAATTTTTATGATGCACGCACCCACCTAAAAAATTTTCCACTGAGGAAATCCCATGAACAGATGGGGTACATGTGAGCCTGCTCAGGCTTGCTTTCACCCAACAAACCCCATGTCCCAACAGCAGCCGAGCCAGCCCCAGCTCCCAACCACATCCGATGCAGCAACAACCACAAGATGTGAGCAGAGGGGGAAGCCAGGCTGTCAGGGCAGCCTGGAAAATTAAGGATTATTACTAAGGACTAAGGATTGCCAAGATAGGATCCCCACGTTTGGTTGGCAATCCTGCTATTCCTGACCAGAAAGCCTTGCAGAGGCAGGGGAGCACAGACTAATCACTGCCTTGTGCCTTCCCAGGGCAGCCCTTGTGCTCTCCAGCAGGATGTGGGATGAAGGCCAGGACCATGCCAGATGAGGGGTTGGTTTTCCCACCCCAGCATGTCAGAGCTTCAAGTGTCAGAGACAACAGTGGAGGCTGATTCCCCAGTAAGAGCCTCCTTTCATGAAATAACCAATTCCCCCTGAGGCTACAGGGTCCTACACCCCACACCACACTCCCTCCCTTGCCCCTGAACAAGGCATCCCGAACAGCCTTCCCCCCATCAGCAGCAAAGGCCAGATCTGAGTGTTTTTACAGTTAATAAAAAAAAAAAAAAAGTCCTGGCAGGAAAAATAAGCCTGCCCATTCCAGGCTCTTTTTATACATCAGACGGCAGCAAAAATAGATGGGAGAGGGAGTGAACCCACTTCTCCCCCTCCCTCCATCCCCCCAAGTGGGTCAGCTATAAAAGTAAAACCAAATCTTAATCCAAGGCCATGAACATATTGCAGTTTCTCTGCAAAGCAGATGACGGTTCTTAATGCAAAAATATATAAGACTGAGCCCCAAACTGCAGCGAGCCCATTTGGAATTTCCTTTATTAAACCCTCTATCACGCAAAACGCTTCTCTCCCAAGGCGGCAAGCGCTGCAATAAAGCTGCCAAGGTGATATTTTATGGTTTCAAGAGATTTCCAGCACACTATAATCCTTTGCTTGGGGAATCTCCCAAAGCGAAATGGATCCCAAAGTGGTGGGAAGTGAGGAGGAACATGGATTTGGGGATCTGGGGGGAAAGGACACTGCCCTTCTCCTCCCTTCTGCAACAGGGAGCAGAGGGAGAAGGGCAGAGGAGCCAAAGAAAATCTCGAAGCAAATGCCCATTTTTCCACAAAACCACAGAGTATTTTTCCGTGTTAAACACCCTGAAACCTCACCTATGCCTTCGCGGCATAAACGGGGATTTAAAGTTCCTCGCACATGTGGCGCTTGGCAGAACTTGGTAATTAAAAACCCGCAAGTACCCTGAGCATATTGTAGGATGAGAGCCAAATTGGTCAGCCCTTGATGAATGATTTACAAGGCTGCGAAGTGACATTTTATTTCTTTTTTTATTCCCCTCCCCATCACCGCTGCTAAGGTAAACACTGAGGCACCTTTAGCCCTGGTGAAGCGATGGGAGCGCAGCTGTGGCTGGAGCAGCTCTCAAAATACTTGGGCATGCCAGAAATGAAAGAAAAAAAGGCAAAAAAAGACAGCAGGAACAACTTTTCCAAACCTTAAGCGTGAGCACCCAAACCCTAAGGGTCACAGCACACAAAGCCAAGGTCTTTCCAGCACCCATTTCCAGGATTTTTTTGGCCACACAGCTCCTCCCACATGGTTTATTTCCAACATTTTGTCCCAGAAACTCTTTTCAGGGACTCCTGGTTGCAGTTTGCTTTCCAAAGCTCTTTCCTTAGGTGAGCATCTAAAACCCATCAAATCTCCCTGGTGAAGGTACAGACAATGTGCAGTTGCCATGGAAGCTGGCAGAAAATGGGCATGGAACTGCTGTGCCACCACATCCAAGCTGGAGCTGAACCAGAAGCACATCAGCCACACGAAGGTCCCCATTGGCGTGTGACACCCCGAATTTCCTTCCATTGAAACACATGGAAACCACTGCCAGAAAAGAGCCAGGACAGCTCTGGCAATGCTGGCATGCCAGCTCGTTTGCCTTTTGTAAGATGGCAAATTTTCCCCACGCTGGAAATCAATATATATGTGTTCCTGGGGCGCACATGCATAGCTATATACACAAACACACATATGTATTTTTAATTCTCTGCCACATACGTTGGTATTTTTCCTCTTTTTTTGGTGGAAGCCAGTGGAATGATGACAATCTGGATCACCGTGGTTCGCTTCCAAACCGAAGCTCTCAGTTAACACACCGGCCTGGTACGCCAGCAGATGCCGTCTAAGCCTTTAAATCGCACACTAATTGCACTAATTGAGCTAACAGTCTCTGTTTCGTCTCCCTACCCTGAGTCAACCAGCATCTTCTGGTACTGCTGTAGAGATCCAAGCTGTTGACTGTAGCGTTATTTTGTCAGCCATTAAACGATTCATCAGAGTCATTAATTGATTTATTACCGCTGCCTGCGAGTATAGCTTTGCAAATAAAGAAGGATGGAGGTCAGGAGGCAATGGAAATCGGACAAAACAGCACAGCCAGGAGCTGGGCACTTGAATTATCGATAGGAGCCCACTTGCACAGGACCACTGGCATCAGGTTATGGAGGGGAAAAAAAGAGTAAAAAGGAAAAGATCTCCTGTCTGGCTGTGCTACAAAGCTGGTTAGGGTCTTCAGCTACAATCTATGCAGGATGTAAAAGGGCTATTAAAACCACCTTGTTCTCTTAACCCATCTTGTTTTCTTAAGAAAACCATCTTGTTTTCTTAAGTTATCCTTAACTTAATTGGGTTCAGGACAAACCAGGTTATTCTGCTGAATTAACTGTGCTGAAGAGCAGCAGGGAAGAAGCACTGGCGTGGCTGCCCCACACCGCTCCCCAGCCTCTGGCGCATCCCCACCAGCACTTTGGTGTCACCCGAATTTACTTTCCCAGGCCGGCTGAGCCGGGAACACAACTCACCTCCGCTGTCCCCCAGCCCTGGGAGGAGCTGCGGTCCAGTGCTTTTATTTATTTACTTTCTTTACTGCAGGGCTCAGGTCTTTGCTGGGCGTGAGGGTTTGCTGCGAGCAGGGCGCGGCGAGCCGTTTCCTGCCCCCCGCCCTGCCGCACGCTCGGCCCCGAGCAGCCGTGAGGCACCGCCGAGGCCCCGCCAGGGTTTTGGGGGCTGAATTTAGAAACCGGAGCAGGTGGGTTGAAATTACCATCACTGCCAGAGTGTGTTTGCTCCCAGGCATCTGGCTAATAAAAGGCAGCACCCTACAAGAGAGGGCTTGGGAAGACAAGGAGTTTTCTGGATGTGTTGTCCACACACGGGGTTGCTGCAAGGGATTCTTGCTTCTCATTCCCACCCTGATTGTAGACCTTGAAGAGCAGCCTGAAGGTGGGTTAAGGCTCTGCACCCCTTTCTGAAAGGCGCTCAGTGTCATAATGGTGACAGGGCACCAGCCAAGCCCCAGCTCACCACCCACCCAAACCTGCCATGCTTCACCAACACCAGCAGTGGTTCCTGTGAACCATCTCGGAAAAACAGGTTCCAGCTGGTGGTAGTAACTCTGCCATTAAATGGAAGCTGGTGTCCCCACCGCACACTCCAGGCGAGCAGCTTGCCCCAACATCCCATGCTGGCTTTCACCAAACACTTATTTTTAATAAAAAGAACATGCCAGGAGTGGTAGGGAGCAGAGAGGATGCTCCATGCGTGGGAAGCACCACCAGCACTGCCTGCTTAGCCAGGCACAGCCCCCATCAACCCAGCAGTGAGATGGAGAGAGCAAAAGTATCTTCACAGCACAGACCTAAAACCAAACTAAGGATGGCTGGGTATTTCCTTTTTGAGCTCCAGCTGTTTTTGCCCTCTCTCCCCTCCAGAAGACTGGACCAGAGGATTTTGGTTGCATCTCACACCTTGCAGCCACCGTGGGAGCAGCACAAGACTTGAGGGCAGCTGCCTCTGGTAGGAGCACGCGGGGGTGCTCAGGACATGCTGGTGATCTGGTCTCTATCTGTCTCCTTTGATTTTATTTTTTTGCCTAGAGCACAGGCTTTGGAGCCTAAAGAAGAAACCAGCGTGCGGGTCAGGACTTAAGCAGGCTGCGTAAACAGGTAATACGGAATTTAATTGGACTCCAGTTAAGCCTTTTCATCTCGTTAAAGCTGCCTTCATCT